GTTGGCATTTATATGACTAATACTTAATTGTTTTTTCCCTCAGTGTAAAAGTCAAATATACGTAATTTCACAACATGTTCTGAGACTGTTGACTGTGTGTTTCAGCAAACACTGGTTGGTTTGTATTTGTATAAAATATGGTGGGGTCTATGTCATACTAAGATGGGGTTTTGGAAATTGACCTAATGATAAATTCTAACCACAAAGATATTGAATTATAAAAAAAGTTTTACATTTCTCCACAGAAGAAAAACATACTTATACTGTATGTTTATAATTGTTGGTGTGCAACACAAGATTATTCATCAACAGTGCCAATGTTAAAGGAGTATCCTGAAAAGCATTATATTCATTTTTTCCCCTGAATTGGATTTGTAAAAGACAGATGATCCAATCTGTCAAACCAACACAGAGGCAACCTCAAATCCTTTACAGTTTTGTTATCAATTAAAAAGCAAGTCAAAATATAAATCTAACTTTGTAACAAAACGTTGTTCTGTGCAATATGTGCTGCATGTATGAATATCGAAGTGCACTTATGGAACAACAGCAGCTGTCAAGTTCCCACACACTGCAGAGTTCAGTTATTCATTAATGTGTACGCATCTCTTGAGCAGTTTCTAACCTAAAATTTGTATTTAGATTTCTTTTTTTGTTTCTTGCATATTTCTTAAAAAGAGAAATATGTAACTCAAATTTGTCTGAATTCACACAAAAAACTTAATTTCACAGCTGGTTTAAGGTGGCTTTTACTCCCTCAGATTGTTGTGATCTGTTAATGTCTTGACTATTCTATTTCATGCTTCATACAGAGGATGCTGTGTTTACTGCATATATCTAAAAATAACTTTTACTGCAACTTCTCTGAGCAAATGAGGATGGTAGTTGTGAAGTGATACCAACTCATGTTTTGATTATTCTTTTAAAACATCCCATCAAAAGCAATATTAAAAAAGGATTAAAGCTGTTCAGAGGTTGTCCACAATGCCTCTTGAATATGAATATCCTCGAATAAATCAGAATTGTTACCAGGTGATAGCCCAGTTATTTTTGTTGTAGATATTACAGATACCTCTTGACACCCAGGTGTTAGGAGTGGCTGTGCTGCGCTTTATGCAAAACCTAATTGAGAAGGATTAACAGCTTATTGTTGCAGATTCATCTAGTATCCACACCTCCTATTCTCCTGCAGTATTTGAAAGGAGGATTGCTCAGCCCTATTGGGCAGCGCTTCATCATATGCATATCACCCATGCATACACAGCATTGACACAACACAGCTTTTATTCAGATTTAGCCTTTATGTTCCCCCATGAGAGGAGATAACATGAGATATGCATCAGAGACCATGTGGCAGCCTGGGACTTTTGGTGGGCTGGAGATAAAACTTTTTTCAAATGCCAGCTAGTCTGTGGCATTTAGGGACGTGTGATCATTTTCATATAATCTGCCTAAATATTCACAACTACCCTGGCCTGCCGATGGTAATTGAAGTCAGTCAGGCACAACAATGTGAGGTCAGGCAGCTTTGTGAGAGTGGCCAGATACACACATGTCGCTGTATCTGTTTTTCCTGTTCTTCCATTTGATTTAATGAGCTCTTACTGACTGTGCCACCTCATTGTGGCTCTGATGTTGTACAAATAATGTCTGGCATAATGTAAAGATGATATTCTATAATATCGGTCAAAAATGAAATAAGATCTTTGCGTGGAGGAGCATATTTTTTACATGTTGCCACATAATGAGTCTGAATGTGAGACTGAATTCTACAAATGTGTTTAATGTGCTAAAGGTCCAGGCTCTGAGTGTGAGGTCTTCACATTCACTCAATATTATGTCCTATTATATTAAATGGCAATTAATTAGGTCTACATGTACACAACATTGCAACAGTTGGGGACTAACAATTCTCTCATTTGCTGCGTCTTATCATTGGTATTAATGCTGAGATTACTATGAGCGATCGAGCGCTCTTCATAGCATTCGGTCAGAGCTTCTTAGTGCAGCAGGAAGAGCCGTGCCACTGCATCTTTTCTCTGTAATTTCCATGCTTCGCTCATAATTATTTCTGTAACGCCTCGCAGGAAATTCATTCGGATTAAGGTATGTCTCATTGTCATTGTCATTATTCCTCTCAGACAAATGGGATTTTTATAATCGACAATGATACTGACATTACATTCGAGTTGATTTTCAAAATAATATTGATTTTACATATTTTTGCCACTCAGTGATAGTATTGTGGATAACTCTTTACGCATACTGTTAATGCTTTTATTTCCGTGTGTATTTTGTGATGAGTATGTCACTTTTTACAGCACTATACCCCAACTTGTTTACTATTGTGCTTGTTCATTAATGCCATTTGAAAACTGATAATCAGTGACTAAATATTTGACTCATGGAACCCGCCAATGTACCATAAAAAACTGTAACGGCAGTAGTACTTACAATCAGAATTAGATTTATTCCCAAGTAGGTTTTCTCATAAAATTTATTTACTTTGGTGCATTGGTGCATAAACAGAGAGAAATTAAATAAAAAAATCAAATCAAGTATGGAGCACCTTGGTAGCTGAATAAATTATAAGAAATACTATAACAAATATGTACAGCAAACATTAATATAGAATAGAAGAAAAATACAAAAAACACTATTACAAATATTTACAAGATACATAAATATAGAATAGAAGAAAAATATAATACAAATGTGAAACATTTATTTGATCACTTTCCAGGATAAATCAAGCATTCACCTCAATATCTTCATAAAGAAAGTTTGGTCAACTAAAAACAGACATCATTTGAAACTTAGTGCAAGCTAAGTTGTTTCACTTGTCCTATTTTCATCAATGGTGCGGTGATTGAACAAACAGTAGGTGGCAGGAGTGTCTTGTTTCATGATAGGTCCAATCTCCTCCATGTTGTTATCACACATCAATTACACTACATCCAGTCTGTTCATCTGCGATGTCGTCCGTGTGTCTGGTCCAAACATGTATACGCACGTCGTCTGAATAGAGTCATGAATGGAGGAAGCCATGTTCAACACCATGTGGACACGTGGTGGAAATCAATGAATTAATGAGACCTGTGAGCCAGATGTCATGCAGTATTGTTTTATTTACATTGAATTAAAGGTTTGTTCTCATTGTCAGAGATGGTTGTTTCCTTCGTCAAAGACATTAATTGCACCTGGACGTCTGTGAATTCCATTACGTGTTATGACCTGGTTTTCAAGTGACTATCATGCATGGGCCTATTGTGCATTGTGTTACAAATCGTTTTGTCCTGAAGGCTGACAGGCTGTAAGGTAGGCCTGTGTTTTCAGTTCACTTTAGAGGCACACTTACACAGCCGGTACAAGGCCAAAACTTTATTTTACCCTGCTGCCATCATGTGTCGCAGATTATAACAAAGTAGTTGCGTGTAAGAAAATGGACTATGTAACAGAAGCATCAGCTACCTCACACTACAGTCTCTTCCTTCTGTTGGCAGCATCTGATGCTCTCACGCTACTGGACAACATCAGAATTGACACTAAGTGAACTTATTTGTGAAGTGTACATTTAGGTCCGCGGCACTGCTCACACTTGTGCGTGAGGCCGCTGCTTACATAAACGATGACTCACTAATGACTAGGAATCACAAATGATTATCATGATGAAGTTAGCCTTTCACCCTGTAACAACACACTGGTTGCATGCAACACGTCATTCTTTAATATCTGTGAAGGCGATTTGCCCCTAAGTGGTAGTGATGTTTAGCATGACATAGCTGAAAGAAGGATTCCCTTTTTAACAGTCTTTTCTCATGTTGGATATTATTAAGATCCTACAGCACAAAGTGATGAATCCTTTAGTGCATCTATTCAAAATGTATTCATGTTGTTCTGACTCCAAATCATATGAAACAAATTATTCTGGATCTACTGTAATTAATCAATGTAATTTTTAGCCTTGCTAGCAGTTAGTCCACCACTTTGGTCCGAACTGAAATATCTCAACAACAACAACATGAATTCATTACATTTCTTACAGACATTTATGGACCCCAGAGGATAAATCCTACGGACCTTGACGGTCCTTTAATTGTAGGCTGATATTTGTGTTATGTAGTGAAATGTCTCAACAACTATTGGATGGATTGTACACACATTCTTGTCCTCCTGAGGATGAATCGTAATAACTTTGGTGATCCCTTCATTTTTCATCTAGTGCCATCATTAGGTCAAATTTAAATGTGTCCAATACTTTGGTTTATGACCACATGCCAGCTAAAAACTAAAGACATTCCCCTCAGCTTCAGCTGTACCTTGTATTTAGCGGTGGTTAGTAAATGATAACATGCTACAATGCTAAACCAGAATGGTGACCTGCTAAACAGTATCACACCTAAATGACATGCTAAATATTAGCATGTTAGCTCAAAGCATTGTTTTACCCATACAGTACAGACACCGAGCAGCTAGCACTGCAGTAGCTTCTTAGTCTCGTTTTAACTTCCATGAGTGTCTTTTGTCTTGCCAACAAGTCTTAAGGCCTTTCATTTTTTGATGACCAAGTCCTTGTCCTAAGATGGCTGTGTTGTACATTCATGCTCCCCTTAGGTCAGCTTTACATATTTTGTAAAATTCTGATGTAGCTGAAAGAATATTGATAAAAATAAAGTGTTGCTTTCCTATAATTGTCTAAAGGAATCAGCGCAAATATGGCAATTCACTTCATGGAAATGCTATAAATAACAGGTTCTTGTCAGTATGACAGAAAGAAATGTGACAGAGTCCTCTCAGATAATCGGAGTCACTAAGATAACAGCGTTACTTATCTTTCAAGACGATGTGATAATGAGTGAGTCCAGATGTCAGAGAGACTGAGCGGGATGCTTTAGTTGCTGTGATTCAGCTCACTCCTCAATATGCTGATTTCCATTAAGAATGACACTCAAAATTCAAACAGTACGTCATGCACTTTTACAGCACTTTCTACGAACGTACAAGGCATAATCACATCTTTTATTTTACAGCCAGTTGCATTCAAAGGTGCAGTTTCTAAAAATGCAGTGCAATGTAGAACAGCAAGTAAACATGACAGGTTACAATATAAAAGCACAGCACCATTTGCCACCCTACAACAGTGTCACGTGACGCTACATTTGGCTTGATACATAACCGAAAAATATAGTTTGTTTACTCAGCCTTAAAAATGTGCTGTACTGTGTATCTGTTATGACTTGACTTTACTATTGACATAACTGCCCTACATTCAGATTACTACAATAAACTACATATTATGCCACTTCAGTTCAAAAAGTGTTATCTGGCAAATTCATTTAGTACAAATACACTGACCTGAGATTGGGATTCACAATCTGTGACCAACAATGGTACATTGACTGATAGAATACAAACCAAGGACAGCTACTTCTCATTACACTTCCCTGTAGTTTCAACCCCAAGCTTGGTTGATCGTAGGAAACAATAGATAATCAGTACAACACGTAAGGGCATCGATCCACTATGAGTGATAATGGCAAGGAATGGTGGCTGTCAAAACAATATTTAATAATCTCTTTCCTGGTCTCTGAAGTTGTTTTTTTTACCTCTCTTAGAAACAGAGGCGTCATCAGCCTCTTTTGTTTCTCCCTGCACTGCTTTGCTGATACAGTGAACCATTTCTGGTTTAGGACTTCATCGTGGAGAAAGTCAATAGAATTTGATTGGAATTCTATACCACTGATATTGAGTGATCTTTCATGTCTTATTGAGTGATGATTACTCTACTCCATCTTGACAAGTTTGGGAGCATCAGCAGCTTTTTGTTTAGTGGGGGTGTTTCCGCCCTCTTGCTCAGTCTTCCTGGGCAATCTGGGGCTGCCAGCGGCTCTCCGGCCAGTCTGAGGGCTGGAGGAGCCAGCAGACACTTTGCGTTGAAGTAATGGACTCCGGGAGCCCTTCGGCTTCGATGGCGTCATTAAAGAGTCCAGGACCTTTAGTGACCTCAGGCTGAGCAGACCACAGAAGTAGTTACACTGGTGCTGGGAGACAAACTGCTCAAAGACTTTGGGATTCCCTTCAACAGACAGACCTTGATGCCTGCAGGAACACACAACAAAAGCAAATGCCACAGTCATGATCGTGGTCAGCATGAATGTAAATTACCTGTAAAATGAGGTTTTCACTACATAATTATACTAACCCCGTCGATTTAACTGAAATCCCAACATTGGTGATCTTGGTGTCAACACCTGCAAAACAACACCATGTAATTACTTCATTTTTCTGTTGTTCAGGAAACATATTCAAATGTGACAGACATGCAATGTGAATATTCACCACATTAACTCCAGCACTAAACATGTAAGAGGTAGAAAAAAATGAAAATACAAGTTGAGTCTTATTCTGATTGTAAATATAACGCTGCATTATAAATCGTGTTTAATGGACTCGAAGGTGTTCAAAATACACATGCCTCCTTTAAGTCTTTATTGCAAGCAACATTTTACTTCATTAGTAATGGTAACATGTGTGTAATCCGTCAACCAATCTTGAGCTTCACACGCTCACTGCCTCTTTAATTCAATATGCTACTGATTTTAATAAAAACTTGATAAATGCTTGTTGTGTTGTGGGATGAACCAGGATAAAGAAGGGGGCCTCAGTTTCATAGCATTGCACGTCCCAATACGTCATTATATTATTAAAAACTTTTGCCACAAATTTGGGGAAAACATAAATTTCACATTGCCCTGTCGAATTCAAGTGTGAGCCTACCTTCTAGTCGAGTGAGAAGCAGACTGCCATTGGTCCACTGAAAGATCCAGTGCTGCAGGGCACAGCACTTCTGCTCCGCCTCAGAGCCAGACGTCATGTCTATTTTGCCTGAATTATCAAGGACAGAGTATTTCTGGTAGACTCCTGATAGATCAGCCTCCACTGTGGCATAAGGGACAGTGTTTGCTGGTCGGTACATCAGGTAGACTGGGATCACCCTGTGTGACAAAGATGACATAATTAACTTTTAGTGAGGCTTGATAGTCTGTGTACCGTATATGATACTCAAGAAGACGTTAACCGTTGAGGAAGAGTTAACAGAGAGTTCACACTCACTCAAGCGAGGGGCCAAAGTTTTCAATCACTCTTGCCTCTGCGGAGAAGATTTTGCAGTATTCCCGAGCCAAGTTCTGAATTTTACACTTCTGTATGCAGAACGTTGGAGAACAGCCAGTAAAGATATGCTCAATTTACATCAGTAATTTATGCCTCAGTAATCCTATGTGGGTGGCAAGAATGACTACAGACTGATTCCCTTTAATGCTGGATTTTTAAGCTTATTGAATGATATATCTAAATCTAAGAAGACACGAATAAATCAAACCTTTTTACATACCTGCTTAACAACGTCCAGGTTCCTTTCTATAAGGCAGCTTTCTGCTTTGCCTCCATAGGCGATGGGGTTGCATACTTTAATGATACACGTGTTTCCAGACTCAAACACAGGCTCCAGACCATAGATGACTTTTGCCCTCCAGACTTTATGAGAACAGCCATCACCAATATGAGATTCCTGCATCATTATACGGCCAAAAAAATTGTTACCCCAGATGCCAGAATCAGCCACACCCTTGTTGAATATCAGGGGTGTCATTTCGATCTCTTCTCCAACTGCATACAGAAGAATGTAAGAAGGGCAGTCAGAAAAGCATTTGGCCTCTGACACTGGAAAAAACTAGGATCTAAACATGTAAAGTCTCATCTTACCACCAAGGTCCTCACGTAGGGACATTCCAGCCAAGACTGCAACACAGTAAGAGAGAAATCAAAATGAGACTTGTTGTGGTCCAGTAATGCAAGGACAAATGTTTGTTTCATGCCAAATGTAAGGTAAAAGAGTACATACTATCTGCACTAAGGAGACAGTCTGTTGAGTCGGTCCCATATTCATTTGTGATTGTGCATCCGTAAACACCAGAGTCTTTGCATGTTGCCTGAACAATGGCAAGATTGACCTGAGTTTCATCCCCTGCGCTGAGAAACAAACAAGAAAAGCTATTTGTCTTCCTATTTTGCGTGCTTTCTTGCCATTTATAAAAAAAACACAGAACCATATTATACGACATTTCTTGTGAAACTGCGGATTTTCTTTGGAGTACCATTGAAAACTTACCTTCTTTTAATCTGAGCAATTGCCTCTGTATTTCTGTACCATTTGATTGTAGAGTCACTAAGTACGTTGAAGAACTGACACCACAGTTTCAAGTGTCCGGAGGCATCTGCGAAGGTTTCACCCCTGATCTTACGAATAACTTGAGGTGCTGGAGGGTAACAGACACAACACAGACAGCATAGTGAAGAAACTTTTCTATCTTCTTTCTATCTCTAACTGTCAAGCAACCTTGATGTATCCAGTCTGATATATACTGTATCTGCGATATGCTACATAGCAAACATTTCTTTGCTGTATAATTTAGCTTATATATAGAAAATACATAGTATGGCGCTGAACGCAAATGTCAGTATATTCACTGCAACCCCATGCCTGTCTTAAACAAAATATACATGATTTTTTTTACTGCCAAAGTAAGACATATGTTCATAGGCTGCGCATAGTAACAATTTCTGTTCAAGCTATTTACTATTTTGGCTATTGTACCTTTGAATGGATCGTGCTTGTCCTTCTCTGCAGGTTTCCCCTCAGTTTTTGGGGTGTGGATCTCCTCAGCGGGCGGCTGGCTTGGTGCTTGAGTATCAGATGCCATCTTCCTTCTGCTCAAGAGCGGAGAACGCCTTTCTGCAGGACAGGTTTGCTCGACAGGGGGCTGAAGTAGAGGTGACCGTCTTGACAGGCTTGGAGACACAGCGAGGGTCACTGGACTTGTGGAAAGCTTGCTGCTCTCTGTAGGAACTTCCTTTTTCTGAGTTTGGTTATCAACCGGTGATGTAGCCTCTGAGGCCTCATCAGGTTTGGCCTTGGGTACGAGGATTTTGCGTCGGGCCCCAGAGGCTAGCTCTTGCGGAGTAGCAGAAGGAATGGGAGAAACACAGTCTCGTTTCTTTAACAATGGACTAGCCCCAGGAGTTGGATTGCCTAAAAAGTCAGTTCTTGAAAATTCCTCAGCCACTGAGCTGTCCTGCTGAATAATGTGAAGATTATTCTCTTCTGTATCTGTTCCAAGTACACCTTTAGTGGGAAACGTTTGTACACTCTGCAAAGAACTGGGGTTTGCGTCGTGTTCTTCCATTTTGTATTGATCTAGTGTTGTGGAATTCATTTCAATAATCCCCATTTCAGTTTGGAAGTTGAGTTTAGTTTTGGGGGTTAACTTTAGTGTACCTCCCATCTCTTTGCCTTGAACAGGTTCACATTTGGAATGCTCCAAAACTGTAATATTTGACTCTTGACCGCCGGCCTTTATAGGTGTCACTGGAAGTGGATTCCCAGGTTCTCGTGGGACAGTTCCAGATGAAAGTATTTTGGTCAGTTCATCCTTAGAGGTCGAAGGAGGGAGATTTTGTTTGACATGTTCACTCCCAGAAAGGGACACAACAGGGCAATCTTTCAGAGGAACCTGAGTTGAGGCTCCAGTTTCCCGGCAAATGTCCATGACACCTTCATGATATGTTTCAACACTGCCATGAAGTCCTGCATTCTCTGTAGCGATGCCAGTGTCTGTGACAGAGATGGGAGGGATTACAGATGGGTTTTGTAAAGCCTGAACAGGCGGTGAAGTTGCACCTTGAGACTGAATTTGTTCCTGGTCAGTTTTATTTAGCTGATTAAAAACCTCAATGAGGGTTTCTTTTATGATTCTGGGAGGAGTAATACCCGTGTCAGTTTTCCTGTCAGACATCGACTTCTTCACTGTCGGTTTGCTGTTGTCTTCTTTTAGCTCCTCACATGTTTCTGTCACAGTAGGAGTTGGATCTTGTATAAAGCCAGCATGAACCGGTAAGACGGTCACTGAATTTACCAGTGTGGATTCAAGAGCCTTTACTTGTGATCTCAAAAGTTCAGCTACAGAAATTACTTTTGTGACAGGTTGTGGAATTTCCTGGAACTCTTTTATCTGGAGTTCGGACATGTTTGTGTTTTCTGAAGTTTTTGTCGGGAGTGGGATTGCAGGCTGCAATATAGATGACTGTAGATCCTGTGTTTCTGAACTAGTTTCCTCCTCCATATCTAATATGTGCTCATTCTTCTCAGTTTCTTTATTAGATGCATCCACAATGATAACATCAGTGTCTTTATTTGCTGCATCTTTGGTCTTTTCTCTTTCAATGTGTTCAATCAGAGCAGCACTTTCAGTCTCCATCTCAACTATCTTCTCATTTGGAGCCACGCTGTCAGACTGCCCTAATAACTTACCTACCTCGTTGCCTTCTACCTTCTCATCAACTTGTATTTCTGTCCCTTCAACAGTTTTTATAGCTGTATTCATTTGGCTTTGCTGGGCGCTGGAAGAAACGTTACACCCTCTGGAGTTCTCACCACCACCAGGGCTTTGGAGGGGTGACTTCTGTATGTCTGTAAAAAGGGCCCTATGGCTTTCATTTGATCCCCTGGAATGATCCCATGTGTCCTGTGTCATTTTGTCAATTGCTACTTGAAGACCACAGTGCAAAGACGGGGTCTGGATGTCATTTGCCATGGTCTCTCTCTCTGATCCGGTCTTTTGTGGTGGTTGCGCATACATCTGGTTGGGTGGAAGCTCAAGGCTGACAGGTGCATCATTCCTGTTCATCTTTGCATGGGCCTGTGTAACCTTGGGGCAAAATACAAGCAGAGGTTTCCATGCTGTAAATACTTATTCCCTTATCCCTGGCTATGCAGAACAGGGACAAACACATGTAATTTTAAAAACAGCAACAGCGTAACCAGCAACAAACAGAGAATGGATTGGAAAGACCTTGGAGCAAAAAGGAATTCATGAACCAGAGAAAAGATAGAAGGTGATGATAACAAGAAACCTTTCCTTCACCAGTATGCAATTTCCCCATGGCTCTCAGTGAAATACCTGCCACATTAGTGTTTGCATTCATGTTAGAAGCTTAACGATGCCTGTAAACAAATCATAGGATATTTCTTAAATCGTTCTTTTTACATTTTTTAAATATGAAAACGATTCTAAAATCCATTTTGACATTCATCTTAACCTATAATCCAAATCCAGCACATAACATTTGTTCGAGACCCTACTTTTTGCTGTGGCAGTGAAAAACCTGCACGGGAGTGTGATATATCTGGCATATAGCGAAACGTAAGCACTGTGCACGACTCTCTTCCATACATCTCTGCAATACAAGCATGTTGGTTGAGCTTTAAATCCCCATAAAGTCTGTAATTGAGCTGAATCACTTTTTAAATTAGCACAAGAGGTACCCTGTGTCATATGTCAGATGAGATAAGCCATGATATAGCGTATGGGTAATTTGCATTCTGCCCATAGGTTCCTTCAAAAGGCAACTGCAAAACATAAAAATACTTAACTATAAAGTCATATTCAATGTCATAATAAATTAGATAAAAAATCTGCGGCTTCGCTCAATTCTGCTTGTTTTCCCCTCCTTCCCTTTTATCTAATGATGACACAGTGAGGCCTATTCACAAGTAAGGGGGGCTATTTTATATTTAAGTGTGGCCAGAAAGGAATGCGAATCATTTTAAGAGGCGCTTCAGCTGTGCAGTGTTTTGTCTCAGCACTCAGTGCCGTCAGTATTCAACCATGCAGCTGGAGTCAGGAGGATTGCATAAGCAGTGGACAATAAAGAGACACAATCCAAATAGAAAAACAAGTGCTTATATAGACTGTTGCCAAATGTATCGGTTGAATGTAGTTATAGAGGCCTGAAATCATCAATCAGGTCACCACGACAACACCCTCCATTAACTTTCATTTTTGAAAGAATTAGTTGGATGTTTGGGGAAATGCACTTATTCAAAGATCAATTGAAAGATCTCATGCCTGTCTGTTTAAGTCCATCTGAAATGAAATTGCTTTTTTTGTCTGCATAACCTACATATTTGCTCTTGGGCCACAGCCAGCAGCTGCTAGCTTCAGCACTGCACTTGAAACAGGAGTTAACAGCTAGATTGCCTCTGTCCAATATTAAAATAGATCTACCAGCACCTCTAAAGTGCACTAATTAACATAATATACCTCATTGTTAAATCCATATAAAAAATAAAAGTGTGACAAAAATGACCTTCTGACAGAGCCAGGCTTGCTGTTTCCCCCTGTTTCCAGTCTTTGTGCTAAACTAAGCTAATCATCTGTTGTCTATTGCTTTAGATGTAACAGACATGAGAGTGGAATCTATCTTCTTCTGACCTAACTCTCTGCAAGAGTGAATAAATGCATTTCCCTAAATGTCAAACTTTTGCTCAGGCGAAAATCTGCTGAATCCATGTACCATAATATTTTCAGAGTGCCAAAGTATAACCCTGAATTCATATTATAAGGAATACTGCAACTCTCAGACCATTGAACTAAGAATATCAAACGCATGAATCTACCTGTTGCATCTGTCAACATGTGCGTCATTCAATTCTTGTCACACAGCAGGGCATACTTGTAAAAGCTATAAATAGCTCCAGGATGCTTGTGTTACCGATGAGGCCTGTGTTGGCAGCACAAAGCGCTCATGAGCTCATGCGAAAAAGGCTCGCTTACCTCGTTCAGCAGCGCCGGCCGAAACACAGACACATTTTTTCGGGTGGGGCTTGTTTCCTTCTCAGACAGCTGATCTCCAGCCTGTTCACGTGGACGCTGAAGTAAAGAGGTTCTGCTTTTACGTGGTGTGTTCACTGACTCAATGTCTCTGTGTGCTGAGGATCCACCAGTGGGAGTATTTGACTTCTCGTCCACATCCATGACTTCAACATGTTCCGTTTTAGAAATGTTACCCTTTACTGTGCTTCGGTGTTGTCGGGACGCTGCTGCAGCACTTGACTGTCGCTGCGTTGAGGTCTTGTGAGGACTTTGGTTCTGCATTTCCAAATTCTGTTCAGTATCTTTACGTCCAGCTTTCTTCTCATGCTTTGCAGCTTTTTTACCTTCAGTTCCTGAAACAGTATGACTTGTAGATGTAAGAGCAACATGTACTGAGGCAGGCAGTTGTACTTTCTGTGAAGGAACAGCTTCCTCAACACATATGTTTTCACCCTTTGAAGGCCTTTCAGCACGCAATACTTCCTCTGTTCCTGATTTCTGATGTCGTTCTGTCACGTTCCTGGAGTCTGAATCTACAACTGATGAACTAACAACGTTCTCTACTTCCATAAACTCTTCTGAATTCCCCTCAGACTGAACTGGCTCTGTGCAGGCCAGAGCTACAGAGGTTAAGGTCTCATCTGTTGCCCTTCTCCCCTCAGATGGCCGCTCTTCTGGTGTACTGTTGGAAATTTTAATCTTCTTTTTGACAAAGGGAGTTCTGGGTTGGTGTGCAGTAAAAATCTTCTTGGCAGAGTCGTATATACATGTCCCGCTCTTGTGCCCACTTTCACCGATAGTCTGTCTATTAGTTACAGCTGACACTGCTCCATTGGTGATGGGAACTGGTTTTTCCTCCACCTCTTCCACAGTGGCCTCCTGTAACCTGGCTTCAGTGTCCACAGCCACAGCCTGAAGGCTCTCCTCGATGCCCTCATCCTCCATGGAGCTTGGCGTGCTGAGAAAGGCCTCCATTGTGGAGCGGCGCTTCCTCAGTGTGCGGTCAGGACTGATGGTTCGTAGCGGCTCCTGGTTTTCTTTACCTTCCGCTTCCTTGCGTCTGATCTCAGCCTTTTGTTTGAGCTTGGCGAAGTAGCGCTGGTGGATCTTGAACTCGTTCATTTCGCCCACCTCCAGAACCCCAGAGCAGGACACAATGCCTTTACTGTTGCTGGCTGAGACCTGGTATATAGCTGCGTCCTCCACAGTGCAACTGCAAAGAAAAGTCAATATAAGTTGCCTTGATTAAAATGACTTATCCCTGACAAAAACAAAAGGACAAAAGTGCTGTGTGTGCTAAACTCTGCTCAGGACATAAGCTCCAACAGAGTGTCCGTTGCTGTGTAGTCATTTAAATTTCTTTATTGAGAGTTTGTACTGTTTTGGTAGAACGAGTGCATTCAGATGTCATATCAGTGTTTCCAAACATACGTACTCGTAGATGTGCAGGGAATAGTTTTGTCCGTTGCGGAAGATTTCATATTTAGGAAGTCCACAGTATCTGTCTAACTGCACATCATCCTTGTACCAAATGACTTGAGGAATAGGGTATCCTGAAAAAAAAAAATGAAAACAAATGTGATCATCAGGGCAAACAATTTCGGTATCAACTTAGAAAGGTAGCAGTTTATCCTGGAATTGCTTCCCTGCACTGTGAATAAAGAAAGAGCTTGACTTTTAGACTATCAGAATATCTTTCAGATGCTAAATATCGTGGAATCAGATTTATATTGAGTCTTTTTTCAGAGGTAGAACAGTATTTTGGTGTGTTCTTTTCCTTTAAATTGCTACAAACTGATTTTTCATCAAGTCCCTCGTGATATTGCATGTTCCTGTAATACATTTCCATTAGGTCACAGACATCTGGTGTAAAGCCATGCAAAGTGAAACAACGAAGCCGTGTTTACCTGTAACCACGCACGAGAACTTCATATTGCAATTCTCAGACACAGCTTTTGACTTGAGGGTTGTTTCGAAGGAGGGCTGGGTTTCCTCAGTTAACTGTGCGATCATGCTGCAGAGTGTGCTCCTGTGCAAGAGAGGAGAGCCGGTCTGTCAAGTTGTAGTTTCATTTCTTTTAATGATTCCGCACATACTGGATTATTGTTTTACATAGATGGACAGTTTTTCGGACTCAAGAGCAAACGCATTGGCTGGAATGATTTATAAGGTTGACTGAATTCAAAATTGCAGCCTTCAATAGGTTCATACGTTTGTATGGCGGTTGTTGGAAAAAGTCAATCCTAAATTATGGCAAATTATGGTAAGAGCCTGGGTAGAGCGACAGGTTCTAGTTATGATTGAGCATTACTCCAAGAAAAAAGAGACTTCAACTTCTCAAATGTGTGCTGATTTGGTGACTAAAGCCAAGTCGGAATTGAGCCTTCAATGACATCAATGACACAAATTAAGACTAGACTAAGATGTGTATCGAGTGTTGAGCAGTTCTTACAAATTCTTTTTTTCATGCATACCATGTAACAAAGGAAGAAAAGAAAGTGTTTTTGTGTGATCTTTGGCTTCTGAAGTTCAGAATGAATAGCTATTTGTTGTGTCCCTAGAGGGCCTAATTAGTCCAGATATATTAATTAGAAAAATTAAACACATCACCATAAATGTAATAGCTAAAGAATATCAACCCACCATTGCATGTGGAAATGTGGAAGAAACATCCCACACATATAATAAAATAAATGTACATGTATGTTGGCTTGCATGCGTATTATCACAGCATTATTGTGCGGCTTGTATACGTGTCTTGGTGTTAACATCCATTTCAGTGTTGGGTCAGTGCACGGATACTGTTACACTTCACTGCATGTTACTTGTGATGAAGCAAACGGAACAAGACAGTAATACTAAATGCAGCCTCACTTAAGTAAGTTACTGTGGATGCCCTGCAACCGCTGTTTGTTGGAGTTTAAAAAAAATACTACAGTAATTTAGCTACGACACGTACATTTTTAAGCAAAAACATGTTATAAACTTTTGAGTTTGACAGGAAACAGCATTTCCTGTTCATCATGTCAGATTTTTTTTTTTCCCAATAGTTTTTGCTCATGGTCTCAATTCCAGCTGCAAACAATACCACGGTCCATTCCACCAACATTATCTTTACATATTATGTTGCAGTGATTAAGTACTTCACATTTTTTTGGGAATGAATCACACGAGCAATAGTCTCGTTAAGGGCCAACAGAAGATGACAAAGAATCAAAATTCTAGTTTCTTATAATTATATTCCCAGAAGCCAATAGTGCTGCATATCACCCTTTTACCAAATAACTTGAGGGGTTCGTGTATAAGAAAAGAAAATACAGGACACTTTTAAACAAGTTCTGTGTCTGGAATCTAAAGGTCAGCATAGGTTGTTCCATGAACAGTTCTTTTTTTAATGCAGAAGCTGTTGTTGGTGTAATGCTTGATATGACATGGGGCCCACGGTGCATAACTGAGATGCTGTTTATCTAAACTCGGGTGACCATGGCAACAAACAAAATAATAATATGCCACACAAGTCCATCCCAGGTTAGGAAAATGATATTGGTATTGCTGTTGGACTAACAGCAGGTAGCACAGCACACTGGGTTAGTGTCGAGTCCTGTACCTGTTCTCCGGCCTCACGTTAGAGAGGTAGCTGCAGCTACTCGGCCGGCTACTCCCACTGATATCATCCCCGCTGTTGGATCTTCCATTGCCAAAAGAGGAGCGTGGTGTCGTCCTCCGTGAATCCATTTTTCACCAGATAAAGGAATACTCCGGAGACTCCAGAAGAAAAAAAGTTTGTGTTGTCACTATTCTTTGGTTGGGCTTTCCAGAGAGATTAATGAGAGCTGAAAGGAAACAATATCACAGACAGCACAACAGAAAGTTACATTACATCAAAATGTACTGAAATATAATAAACAACATTCAGCAGACTATTTTATACATTTAACTCACCATTCACAAGTTTCTCTCCCTCCTTTGACAGACACCCCTCAGCACTGCCTTCAGGCACTGCAATTCCCAATCAAACATGAGCATGCGTAGGCTGCTGGACTATTTATAGTTGGCCTGCAAATAGGCACAAGAGCACAGCACACTTTCCAAAACTTGTCTACGGACCATTTTATAAAACAAGCTAAAAGCCATGTCGTAACAGGTCTGTATAGAAACAAGAAAAATCATTATCCACAGTAAGTCCATGTCAAATGCAAGGTCTTTATGGGTTTGGTAGTTCCATGAATTGGAGGAGAGTATATAAAAAACAGGGTGAGGGTTTTTTTTTCTATTTTGTGTCCAATGGATTACATGCACTCAGAGAAGAGAGGGAGCAGTTGTGTGGTCAGTAGCTGGCTGTACAGACTATAGCAAAGAATCACATGAGTCTGTCAACCTGGAGAATGATGCCTTCACTCTTTAGTCCGTTGATATGAGCTGTACATTCTCTCTGCAGTCCGGTCTCACAAGGTCACTTTCCAAACATAAAAGTGTGGAGTTAAAATTAAATCTGTTTTTCTGCTTTTCCTCCCCATTTGTTCTTTCTGGAATTATGTAATTAAAAAAAAAAGATAAAAGCACATTTTTCTTCAGTATAATATAAGACGGTGAAGCCTACCGAGCTCTCTGGCATGCATTGTCCAGTGAGTGACAATTGCATTGGCTCCCCAGTGGAAAGGCAGTAGGAATAGAACAGCCTTATATAGGCAGATCCCATTGACTGCCAACGAGCTATGGGTTCTTATCTTTACACAAGCATGCACACATACACACACACACACGTACACACATGCATTCTCACACACACAAATCAGCGATCAGCAATTTAATTAGATTTTTGTTTTTCACAGGATGAGTTGGTTTGGTTAAACCCTGTTGGCATTTTTGATCTCATCAAACTAATCAAAATGAAGAGAAAAGTTAATTAACCTGTAAGATTGAGAAATAAATGTTTACCTTTAAATTACCGTTATGAATGTTTCATTTTTACCTCAAACTTATCTTTTGCACGGTAAACAAACTGTAAATCCTTCAAATCTTCTTTGAACTGATTGCAATTGATACTAGTACTCTATAAAGTACAGCTTGATGGAGTGTGTTCCCCCCAAATCAAGTTCAAAGATCTCAATCTTGAATTTTCTCTCATGTTACCACATACACGCTTCATATTACACACGCCTTTGATCCTTCTCTGTCTATTTCAATTTTTTGTTCCATCCATCCGTCACTTTCCTCTATAAATCCAACACTTTCCACTTTTCTTGGCAGGTAGGTGACTCAATTTAATGACCAAGATTAACTGGAGAATTTCATTTCAAAATAAGGGAAAACTTTAAGAGAAGAAATGACAGATTTAACAATGAGAAAGGGATCTTCAACCCCCCACAATGGACATCAGTCATAGTTATTTTAGAATGGATTTCATGAGCGACTCCTATAAACAAACACAGCCCATAAACACACACACACTGCAGTGATAGACATGTTTGGGCGGCGGAGCCTTGTGTGTGACTGGTTGCCAGTCCTCTGGGGCTAGAAAACACAGTTGCCTCAGCATGGTCTGAATACTCTGGACGGCGTGTGTACAGAGAGATCAATGCACAGCAGGTTTTGGAAACACTGCAGAGGACGGCAGACGCTGTCATGTGACTCTGTTTGACAGTGAATACCCCCCGTATGTTACCCAACTGCTGATGGCTGGAGAGAGATTTCCTAATGTTGTACCACATACGTGACGATACAGAAACACGTGAGAAACTATGTTGTTTGGCATAAGTCAAAATCTTGTTAAAAAAATAGGACGAATGGAAAGGAAAGATTCTTCAGCTACTTAGATAGACATCCAAATGTCGCTTCTTTCCACCTATTTTGGCCAACTACGTCATAGTACACCCATTTCCCTGAAACTAATTATTAGATTTCACCATTGCATGCCCATTGCCTCATGCTTTTCTATGTATAGCGCTTCTCAAAATCCTGTTGTGGCTTAGTCTGGCAGATTTAGATGGGGCTACAGATGATGCTCACCGAGATCACTACCTCTGGCTTTGTTGATACCATTATCTGTCTTTTGCAAACATAATTGTGCAGTGTCAGAAATAGAAAGAGGTCACTGCGAGGCAAATGTAAATTGTTACAATCAGTCATTAGAGTCAGAGTGGTAATGGACGAGCCAGGTCTAGAGGACTGTTGTTGTTCAGGATGCCAGAGGAGATGGGGATAGACCAAAAGGTATGAAGCAGGTCGGACAACTGTCAGCTCTACAGTTTCGCTGTGGCATTTATTTACCAGCTCCATAGACCTCCAATAAATAGTGACCTTTCAGCATGTGCTCATAAACCTTTCACCCACAACTTCCTCTTGTCCCTCTTGTCTTTTTGGGGGAGTTTAAGTGTAAACTGGCCATCGTAGCACACCTGCATTCACCACTAAATCCTCATCTGCTCTTCATTCACGTACGTCAGCCAAAACGAATGTCAATGTAGTTTAATATTTCTGTGCAATTGAACAGACGCAATGTTTTTGTTATGAACAGGTGTGACTTTTCACCAGGTGAAGTAACCCGACAACAAGCTGACGGAGCTGTAGAAGTCTCTATTATTGATTTATAAAAAATAATTCTTACAAATGATGCTTCTAAATAACTTTAAAAAGCGATTAGCCTATTATCATGGTCAGTGGTTTGAAAAAATTAAAATAAAGACCGGATCTTCTATTCTAGTGAATTTGTTATTGTAGAAAGTGGGAATTAACAGTTTGATGGTGCTGCCCGTGGATCAAATAAACTCCTGAGATAAAGCACTACTCTTCAAGCTACATGAAACATCAGCTGCATGGGAACATGCTGTTCTAATCTAACTGGGATATTAAAGCACCCACATCCAACATGGTGAGTGGCGAGGTGTCGACACAGACAGACGGGGAGAGGGGTGCACCAGTGGACAAACTCGGATGGAGGCCATTATAAATGGGATTTTGATCACAGATACATAAATCATTTCGATTGAGTGATAGCAGTTTAGCTAGACCTGTATGGCTCTGGCGTGAGAGTTTACTGGCAGGGTGGCCCGGTGCCAATTATACCCTCAAACACCCTCCACCACACATGCAGAGCATGACAGCAGATTGTTTTGATGTTTGAGAGGTCTCTGTGGAAACTGAGCTTGGCTTTGTACGGCCGTCTGGCCCGCTGTTGAGGCTGTGACATCATCTTCTGGATATTCACACCAGTGTCAGCTCCAAGGAAGCCGAAACAGGAGAAGACTTGGCCTCCAAGGACAGCTGTGTGCCACACACACACACACGTACACACACACACACAAACACTCTCACACACACATCGTGACTGCTTACACTGCCCTCAGCCAATCACATGCACAGACCGTAAACATACAGTATGTTGCCTATATTGACTAATGGGCCCAAGTTAATGTTGCGCTACACTCAGATTAGACAGGGGCCGATGGCCATTATGATGAATGGGATACATTTAGCCTTTATCCATTTTCAATTAACTTCAATTAAACTTTGTGTAGGGATACACACACACACACACACACACTTGATATATAACAAGATAATATGAATTATGCAAAATATTATCGGATTGACAGGCGTGCAATATACATGTTTTGTTCCTTTTCTGCACACAGTATAACATCTCTGCTGCTCAGTGTGGACCACAGCTGCTAAGTAAGTACTAAATCTTCCAACTCCATACTTTTTATTTTTTACATTCTTCTAAAAAATGTATTCATAAATATTCTAAAACTCAGAATAAAGTCTCTTCAACTTGACCAATTCAACCAACGAATGATCTTCAGTAGTATTGCATGAGAAAGTGATTGTTCAGCAGGTGGACTTACAGTGTCCTCTAGTGGTGATAGTGCAACCAGTGCACAAGCTTGGATTGAGTTTCTCCATTTGCTGCTCTAAGATGCAAAATATATATTTCCATTTTGATGTCTAACTATTATGCAGGATAAACTACTCAAAATGAACATCAAGCCATAGACATTGTCAAATGTAGCGGCAATCTTCCCTCCGTCCGATAGTCCACATTACCACTACTCAGGGGCGTTTCTAGGATTCCAAGAAAGGGGGGGCTTAGCCCCAAGGGGAGTGGCATGTTTGCGGCAATTCTTTTTGGGGCCGCGGATATTCATTGTTTCAGACAGTTCATAGATTGGTTCAATCAGAAAGAGTGTGATTTTGCTCTGTAGTTTTGCTTGCATTCAGTATATGATAACCCAAGAGACAGAATTTCAGGGTCATAGTGAAATTTGACAACACAAATATGAACTTTTCTCAAATAAAGAGAGAAATAATTTACCTGCTTGTAAATGAAAGACGGATAAACTAGCTTTCATATCTGCGTCACTCCCAAATCCTAATTCTTAAAGGGACTGCACACAATGGATGGAGAATGGACCTGACAGTGTCAACTTTTGAGTTGTTTACTTGTTTTATTATGAGCAGAAGGGAATAAGATTTTGATCAACATTTACATCTACTTTGTTGTCCGTGTAGTTTTTACATACCAGTGATATTTTATGCTCATTTGGACACTATCACTGAGATAAAGATGAACTAGTTCAGTGTCAAATATACCATTCAATGGAAAAAAAAACATGAAAAACAAAAATAATAAAACACATTTCAAGTACATCTTAATTATCGAATGATGAATATTGTATGATGCGCTGAAATGGAAGGCACCCAATGCATTCACTATAATCAAGTCAAACTAGGATTGCAATGTACAGAGAAAAACACTATAGGACCCCGTCCCTATTAACTGATTATAAACAACAGCATTCTATAGGGACTGATATTATTGTTTCTAAATACTAGAGAGATATATTAATGCAAAGAATAGAGAGATGTCGATAGTTATTTCTTGTATTTCGAATTCGCTCGTTCACACTCTTGCTCACTGGAGACAGTTTCTAACAAAATAGCTAGCTAGCTAGCTAGCAATATTATACAAATACAATATTCCCTTTCATTTGCCTCAAGTAAACCTAAATTTAAGCAGGTAACAATCGTTAACTACAGATAGCCACATTCTGTAACTACCTGTACTTACAATTCCACTCCGTGCATCATTTACTTTGAGCTAAACTCCTTGGCTATAATCCTGGCAGTCGTTGACGAGAGACGTTACTTGGTAGAGTGAGAAAGCCAGCGCAGCAGCCTCCCCAAGGTCCTAGTGCCCGGGGTTTATATCGTTAAGTATGATGATGGCTATTGGAATGTAATTTGAAGGGGAGAAAACATACAAACCAGAACACACGCACATATGTAGCATGTTGTTATAAATAACTTGTCCATGTGAGAAACAATAGTTTAATTTAATGACATCACCAAAATAATTTTTTTTTTTTTTTTTTTTAAAGCCAATAATGCCAAATTATTTGGGGGGGCTAAAATAGGCCTAACGACGCCCCTGCCACTACTGTTACAGGCTGTGTTTGGCAATAAGCTTGAGGCAGTAGCTTCATTTAAAATGGTTTACTCAACAAAATAAAGTTGCAAGAAACATTCTTTGATCGACTTGTCACAGCGTTGGCACAACGGTCAAAAAACTATGTTGCTCCACAGACTGATTAACCTCCACTGAGGGCTGTTGGCTGTGACGTAGTCAGTAACGCAACTAAAGGAGCATTTCCACATTTTTGTTACATAAATGACATAAGACATCTTACTAAGTCTCATATGGCTCTTACAACAATATTTAGCTGATAGAATGGGAAATTGAAAACATCACCTCACTTGAGAATATCTGGAACATATTTAGTATGAATTACAATTGAATACTAGAAAATTCCGCAAGAAATTTTGACAGTGTGGCTTCTACTGCCCGAAGACATCACAATATATATATACACGCCAATATTACCGGTAGATCAAAGTTCAGAGATAAATGTATTTTTTTTATTGCATTAGGAAAATATGGACTACTTGTTTACTACTACTTGCCTACTAAGTTGCCGTTTAGTTGATGCTTTACCATTTACAATGTGCACTTCCATTATTGTGACGTCAGACAGCTGCTTCTTTGTGAAGTCAAGGTAGATGGATTTGTTCAAAGTAGAAAAAGAACAGCAGCAGCTAGCATACCTTAGAATCAGTGTTTATTTAAAAAATAAAATAAAAAATAAGAAACTCGGAAACAGAATTTTTTTTTCTCATAAACTCACTTTAATCTCAGAAAATATACAAGTTCTTTCATCGTAAATGTACTGCTTTAATGTTGTACATTGAGAGTTCTCGGAATATTACCCAACTACCCCGCATTTTTTTATTTTATTTACCTATAAGTGTAATGGTAAATGGACTGTACTTGTATAGCACCTTTCTAGTCTTCCGAACACTCAAATCGCTTTAACACTACATGTCATCATTCACACATTCACACACATTCATACACTGATGGCTATGGCTACCATGCAAGGTACCACCTGCCCATCAGGACTATCTAATCATTCATACTCGTTCATGAGCAACTTGGGGTTCAGTGTCTTGCCCAAGGTGACATCGACATGGACTAGCGGAGCCGGGGATTTAACCGCCGATCCTGATTGAAGGAGGACCCTGCTCTACCAGACACACAACGGCCCTAATACGCCGTCCTGTAAAACTGATCATTTCTGCTCAACGAACGTTTTAAGTGTTTGCATGGGTGTGACCGCGTATTCCTAATTGTATTAGCAAAAGCCTGCCCCGCATTCTGGCTCTGCACCTCATAGCCCTGTCCCACACAGCGTGGGTCCTGCTGGTGCTGGTTTTTTCTCCCCCACTAAATTACTGCTCGCATTATTGAAAAGTTTATTTACAGTCCACTCAAACAGTCCAGACAAAATTATAACAGCTAAAGCCATTGCTTTCATCCGTGCTGTTGAAAGAGCTCTTGTTTGTTTACGTAATACAAGATCCCTTGCTTATAAATCTCTTGACAGGATTTCATCATGACCATCGATATGGATTTCCTTCAATCATCACAGAGACTTGGATTGATCCTGATCAATGTGCCCCTTCTCCTTTAATCTAGTCTGTATCTGATCTCTTGACCTATTACAAACAAACCAATCAGTCCATCAATGACAATTAAATCATGTGTCAAAATACACATCAGCAATAATGAAACCATGGTTTTTTCCTGCATCCGTTGTTGAGCCGATGCTACAGCACAGTTATAGTGTTACGTTGGAGTTGGGTATCAGCAGGAGGCTTTAATTTGGAACTCAGTCCTCTCTTCCTGTGTGCACCTGTTTCCACAGAAAAAGGCTGTGTGCCCGTCAGTCTCTTAGTGACGGCTGTATCTGCTGGTAAACATCAGTCATGTTGATTTCCTGGAAGGCTGCGGTCAGCTCTGGGAGCGACTCGTAGTTCGTCACCACAAAACCCTGGAGCCTGATGGAAAGACATGGAAGGAAACACAGAGAGAAAACTGATGAGAGCTGAAGGCATACCAGCGTTGACCAGCGTTGACCAGCGTTGACCAGCGTTGACCAGCGTTGACCAGCGTTGACCAGCGTTGACCAGCGTTGACCAGCGTTGGATCGCGCGGCCCAAAAAGACTCCCATTCCTCTGCTACATCAGAGTCAAACGTCTGTGATCCGTACCCATGTCCACCGGGGGAAGACGTAGGGCTTTCAGTGAGAACCTTCATCATCCTCTCTTTGCATTTCTTGCCTGACGAATCCACATCCACCTTCACCGTCCTCAAAAGGCGACAAAACTCCTGAATAGACATGATCACAGTCAGAATACACTCCAAAAAGGTACACAGAGGTAAAAAACAACAACACAGCATTCATTCACGTTGCAGTTAAACTCAAGTGTTATATATAATAAGGGTAATAACATGCATAACATTTACAGCTCTATAGTTAATTTTTTTTTCTTCTCTTTCTGCTCATAGAAGACACAGTGTTTCATTGTTTTTGTTTCACAACATTGTTGAGATGCAGCCATGTTTGAATTAACATCTTATGTCTGTGAACAAAAACAATCAGACGTGAGATAAACAGAGCAACTTCAATCGAACCTAAATGAGCTGCTTGGTTTCAATGCACTGTTTTCTTAAGATACCTACAGTCAGGGCCATAAGTACTGTGACAAAATGTGGATGACTGTGTAAAAATGGCTGTAATTCCTAAACGGTTATTGTGATTTTTTTGTTTTATCCATTGAATTAAAGCTGAAAGTCTACACTTCAACCACATATTGACTGATTAGTTTCAAATCCATTGGAGTTGTGTAAAGAGGCAAAATTAAACAAATTGTGTCATAGTCCAAATACTTATGGCCCTGACTGTATAAACAAATGATTAAATAGTCTCTATATTCTGCTCATTTGTGTTAATTATTAAATAAACAAAACAAATAATTAATTTTACCCACAATGTGTCTTCCTGTTAGGCTCTGTATAAGGCTGTTGTAAATCATGGTCATGGTTTAAAGAAGCCAACATTGACTCTCAGTTAGAAAACGAGAAGGAACAGTGCTCTCTGGTTTTTAAATCATTCACCTCAATCTCCTCCCCCTGCAGCCTTTGGCACTCTACAATACCATCACATGACTTCCTCCTTCGCTCCAGACAGGAGAATCATAATTCCTACGGCCACTTGAAGGCGCTGTCGCTTGAATGTAAACAGATGTTGTTTTGGGGCACTTGCAAAAAACGATGATGCTCACGTTTTGTGGGGAGGACAGTCTTGACTTCAGCATACTGAACTCTTTTGGCCTCTGCACTGTGTTTTGTCAGGGCTGCAATGATTAGTCAATAATGTAAACCTTCAGTTGTTTTAGCTTCTCAAATGTGAACATTTGCTGCTCTTCCTTGTCTTTACAATAGAGCAAATTTAATATTGTTTTTGTTGACATCACCCTGGGCTCTTAGCTGCGTTCTGATGAAGAAAATAAGATGTAGATTAATCGTGTGTGAGGGCACTGTTCTTCTATTTATCACAGTCTCATTTTTCGCCAGTATTTATTTACCTTGTTATGCTGCGTTCACGCCAAACGCGTCGCGAATTCATCGCGCCGCATATTCACGTCCATCGCGCCACCGGTCAAAACGCCGGGGACCAAGTGTTCATTCGCGTGAATCGCGCCGCTATTAATTTCTCCTCCATTGTTTCTGATTCAGCAACGGCAGGACGTCGCTGATGACAGGGGGAGCAACTCAACGCTGATAGGCTATCGCGCCGGGGCGTAACGCGAATATTTCGCAGAAGTTGAAAAATTTCAACTCGCGCGTCGGGGCGATTTGGCGTTTGACGTGGATTCAAGTCCATCGCGACGAGCCATCGCAGATTCGCGCCGCGGCAGTCTCATCGCGTCTGTGCATAGACTTTGTATGTAATCTACTCGCGCGAATAATTCGCGACGCGTTTGGTGTGAACGCAGCATGACAGCAATAACGCAGTAAAGATGTGTCCATTTAATAGTATTATACCCGGCCCATTTGACATGCACTGTATGTTTTCCAAGGCATACTCAATAAATCTTTAAATTCATAAGACATAAAGTATGTACATGCTGTATACAAGACATACACAACAAGAAAGTTCAGTTCCGAAGACTAAAACATGTGCGTTGGTACCTTGATGCTGGGCCTGGCTCCCTGCAGAATCACCAGTATACTTCTTCCCAGTAGTAACCTCCCACTGAGCTGCAGCTGCTGGGTCCAGCGCTCCAGCAGACCGGTGTAGCGACTTCGAGATCGGATGTGGTCCAACGACAGCACCGCCGTCCACTCCTCCTCTTTCTCTTTTTCTTTTTCTCTCTCCCTCCCCTCCTCCTCCTCTTCACCGCCTCTGCAGTTCTCCGTCACCTCCACACACTGCTATTTTTTTTTTAAACACAGAGCAAACTATTATTTGTGGAGCATACCTTTAATGTAAACAAATAAAAGTCAGTGAGCTCATTTACCTGCAACCACTCCACCAGCTGATGGACCATTGGTTCTGGCGGTAACGCTGCAGCTTGATCCAGCAGCTTCTGTCTGATGTTGTGACACTGAGTCCTGGAGAGACCGGTGGAGGAGACGGAGACGGCGGGGGGGCAGGAAGGGTAGTGGGGGTGCAGATGGAACAACAGCCTCACGTCCAGCCCTCTTTCTCCTCCAACAGTGCTGTTGATCTGGACCAGGAGCCCATCCTGAGCTAGAAGGCAAACAGAGCGATATGGTAGCACTGCAATCATTGGGGGGGGTTCCAAGTCTAATACCTGCATTATTTAATTGAACTGCATGGCAAGTCAGAGAGGGGAATGCGTTATTGTCAACGCCATTTTAAAAGTCAAACTTAAAATGCTTAATGTTATTCAGAAACAGCTGACTCAGATTGAAAACAGTCTTGGTCCTCTTTAATGTGGTATTAAAGGCGTTCTGAATAGCCAAGGCTTTATTGAGGAAATGTGATATCATTCACCATACAGCAATTACATTTGTCTCATTCTTATCATGTATTTGGTCATGTTCATAGAAGCAGTAACGTCACTTGGAAACTTGGATTTAACTAAATGTTGGTTGCAGCTGGTTACATAAACACTGAGGCTGCAAAATCTCACTTTCGCGTGTCTCGTAGCCAAAGATTTTCGGTCGTAAGTCACGTTGACATGTTGGGTTTGTTGCATCTTAAAATGTCAGATACGACGGTGTTTGCAGCGACATGGTAAACTCACCAGACTGCTGGATGAGCTGGAACTCTCCTTCTCCGCAGTAAATGGAGGATAAAACGGAAACTTCCTCAAAAGCAGCTTCAGACATTATTTACTAATCGACGTCATGTCTTCTCCACAACAGCATTTAAAAAAACGCGACATGTTATGAAGCCCTGTGTTATTTAATGTCATACTGCAGTGGGTTCAGCAAGGACTGGATATGGTGCTGCACATGTCCGCACCTCAAAGTCGTCTGGGTAGTTCAGCATACAACGTTCATCAGTTCCGCACAACACACTTCACACACGCACACGCACACACACACACACTCATTGTATGTGTGCATAGACGATACCCTTATGGATTTAGAGTTTAGAGTTGTCCGCAAAATACCCTGCAGTTTTTTTTCACGACCGATACATGTAAATAAACGGAAATCTTCTGTTGCTTATTTTGCTTATAACTTAATTTATATTCATCTTAGTGTAACAGACGGCAACTCCCAAGGGACATATCTTCAACACCAGAACGACAAACATGAGACAGTCTGTTACATTAGCAACACAAAATATCTCCCAAACTGGCATCTATGCATGTACCTAAACGTCTAAGACACGTATACTTGCAATAGTATACTCAAGTGTGAATTAAACCATGAAATATGGCAAATTATTGGAAAATATGCTTCAACATCAGTGATTCAAACAAAATAAAACATACATATGGTCAATTTGACAAAACATTGATGTCTAACGCATCAGAAGTTGCAGTAGCCACTGAGTAGCAGAGGAAGAAGGGGAAAAAAGCACACTTTGGCTTGAGATGGCAAACATGTATCAAAATCAGCCCAAGAAAATTTGGCAGTAATTACAGCTTTGAGTCTTCTCTGATAAGTCTCTAAAAGCTTTGCTCCTCTCCTCTGCTTCATCTCTCCGGCGGAGTGGACACATGGACCAGAGAGTGATCGTTACACTTTGATGATAAAGCCATACAGCCACCTTGGACTGCACAGGGTTATCAGTGATTTTCACCATGGGAGAATCACGTGGAGAGGGAGGGCAGAGTTGACTGTGCCCAGTGGGATGTGAATTGAGCATTAAGCTTATGAAGTAGAGGCTGAGGAAGAGCGACCATTGGGTAGCCACCCTGACTCTGACAGATGGGCTGTGACAGAGTTAAGATCTGACACAGCCTGTTTGTGCATTACTCAGCTATTTAGGGGAGTTGTAAGAGATCAAAGCTTGGGCCGTTGTGGCCTGGAGTCACAGAGTCACTCCGTGGAGCATTGGTGATGCAGAGGCTGGTGGACTGATGGAGGCGTATAGTGGGAGCCCAACTGCTCAGCCACCTGCCTCACTGTCCAGTCAATCAATCATTAGCTGGATGTCAGGGCCAAAGGGCAGCAGACACGATGTAAGACCGAATCCTCTTTGTCCTGGCAGTTGTCGGTGGTGCAACATGGTCCGTAGGTGACTGCAAGTGGTTTAGCCTGCTGCCGCTTGGCGCAGTGTAAAATGAGCGTGGTAGTAGCACTCTTTCCATCCCCGATTGTAACCAATGGCCTCATACAAATAATTCATTTGGGTTTTATACACAATTTGATGAATTCAAAAATCACGAAAAAGTTTTGGTTTGTCTTTGAGACTATATGGCAAGTTTTAAAATCAACCTGTACCAGGAACAGCCACACCCACCAGGAATTGTTCAGTGTAGTAACGTGAGAGGCCACTATAACGTTTATCATCCAGTAGGCCTATGTCCAAAAAAAAAAAAAGGCGTATAAGGAAGCTAAAAAAACAAAATAGTTTTAAAGCATCTATATAAGTTTCCTGAAAAAAGCCCCCCTTTCTGAAGTTTGGTGAATGACGGACATGTTTTCTCCAGAGTAACTTTCTGATGAGGAGGACCGCTCTCTATGAATCTCAGATGATGCTGCAGTTTTGCAGCCTGTTTTTGTTTCTGCTCTGATCATCGCGCTGACAAATGAAACGGCTCGATGCAAAGCGCATCGGCTAAACAGACAACAATGTCTCGAGTGCTCGAGTTTGAATTAGGATGCCTCTCGGGTGATGCACAGACGGTGCTGATCGCGTTGCTCCTCCTCGGCAGACTTTTTCGATTCGAAGTGTAAAAGGGACTTCAACCGGAAACCAAACTTTTTTTTCTTCGAACTTTTTATTTTTTTCTCTGAAGCAAAAGAGGAAAAAAAGAGAGACGACCCTTGGTGTCATAAACTGCACGGTTCCTTGTTTTCTTCATTTCTTTTACGCCCGCTGTTGGAAATGTGTCAGCTGCCGACCAACGGGGGAGAAGTAAACAGTTTCTGGCGAGGATAAAGGGCGACTTCGAGGGATTCTTTTTAGGGCTAGTCAACGCTCACATAACGGATTTTGGTCCTTATCATGGAAGATGTGAGTAGTCACTGCAGTCCGCCCGTGTGTGCTGCTTCGCTTTTTCATGCAGTTTATACCGTCTTTGCAATGTAGAGCTGTAGTTTTTCAGACATTTATAGTGAAAGTGAACACTTAGTATGCATTCAGTGTGTGATGTTAGACAATACTACTTTGCAAGGGCGCGACCAAGTTATTAGAAAACAGATAGGGCCCATAGAATAGACTAGGTGGCAATTTGGAAACGCTATTTCCGTGATATTAGTAATAGTAAGTAAAGAAATAACTTAGTTTGAGATTTCTTAGTGGTACCGAACTGTCCGCTGCGGTCAACTAAGTCAACGTTATTTGGCACGAGAGCACCTGCCCACCTGTCAATCTTTTTCATCAACTTTGGTCAGAGGCCACGAGAAACGGTAGCGAATTGTTGCATTTTAATGCGACCCAACGTGTGGGAGTCAACATATGACCATAAAAGCAGAAATACGGACCTCGTCTTAGTCAGATGTGTGCATTGGTACATTCGGCATTATTATAACTTTGATTTAATGTATGCGAAATGCATTTCAACATGTATGATTGGGTTGCATAAAGGGAGTTATTTCACAAATGAAATTGACTTGATAGATTGTACCTTTGGCGAATCCGCTATGATAGGCGAATATGTCAGTAAAAGTGTTAATATAGGCTTAATAACCTTTCCTGTTTTCATAATTACAAAGTAAGTTGTGATTTGCCATATTTATGAAGGACGCTTGGCTTGCCGTTGCCAATAAGATAACCGGTGTTAACTAGCACTCGTCACAAAACAGATTATTACGAGATTTTGCCGTTTGATTTGTGGCATATCCGAGTAGAACGAATGCATTTGATCCTAAAAACATAGCCTACATACTTCAGACATGAGCTACTTTCATGTAGCTATTGATTAACTGCATGCCTCGCTGCAGTTTGAGGAAGCCAACTTGACAGAAAAAAAGGAAGTGGAGACATAGCCTACTATGTGTACCTACAGTATGCAGGGAACTTGTTGCAAACCTTTTTTGTGCACGCCTTTGATTGTAGCATTGATCCCTCAGTGACCCTCACATAAAGCTGCCTGTCCTTCACCGTCCATTATCTGATAATTAAATGCAGCTTTTCTTTCTTCTTTTACTTGTCTATACTTTCTTAGAATCCCTCTCCAGGCCAGACTATGAAGGCTATAAACCACGAAACAGCTACAACCCACATTTAAACTGCACGCAAGAATACATTCTCCCTTTATGCTGTGTGTGGGCAACGACTAATGAACACAGTGAGACAATTATGACTGTGACTCCATCAAAAGGAAATGTTGAAGTCATATTAAGGCTACAAGCTGTAAATAGAGCTTGTGATTAAATACTTTCAGCCAGGTATACACATTACACTGTCATGGTGGTGAGGTCTGATTGATGACTATTAAAAAGTTGCATCTTTCATAACCTTTTGTTATTTTGTATTTATCAGTTCAGTATGTGTTTTGTGGATGGCATTGTGTCAGAATTGGAGTCTCAGTATATTCTTGTGCAGCGGACGGTGGTGGGACTTTTTCATCGTCTGTCAGCCCCTCAGATCAAATGAACACATGCAAACATCTTCATTATAACATTGTAATGTAACCCAGCAACAATCTGAAGTGGGACGTCTTTTTAATATACCTGTGAAACATTTGAATCAAACAAAATAGCTTAGTCAGAAAAAGTTACTTCAAAGTTCAAAGCTCAAAGTTAGCTTTATTGTCAGTTCCACAGTATGTACCGAACATACCGAGGAGTTGAAAAAACGTTTCTCCGTCTCTCTTAAAGTTACTTTGCACACGAAGGAATGACATTCTGAAAAATGTCGGTATGTGGGTATGTGAATAAGAGATTTATGAATTTACTTAAAACCTTAACCGACTCAATATATGGACATTTTGTGATGTGATAATAAGACGTCCAGTGCGGCTGGGGATTCCAAAAGTGCAGATGGGCGAGGTCTAAAGGACTTAAACTGCCTGAAAAGGATCCAGTAGAACATGCAAGAGTACGTCAGCATTCAACACTGCTGATGGAAGTCTGCGAGGCTCGATGTATCTTGCTGTTGTCGGCCTTTCACACCGACGTTAAAATTGAAATGTTAAATTGTAAAAAATGTTGGGTTCCAGCTAAGGAAATTTGATTGGTGCAATGATTGTTAGGGTGCACACAGGTAGTTCGTAGGAAGGCAGTGTAAAGGAATGAAAGGCTAACAGTCAGCGGCTTGTTAAAAGAAGCCTGTATCAGTGTTTGCAGGTTATACAGAAGTATGACGTGCTCCAGTCTGAAGTGCACGCTGTGACATAAATATATAGATATAGTTTATATTTTTCAACATTGTTGTTTGGATATTGTACTCTAATATCTACAGCTGAACTGAAACTAGTGTTTGACTGTAAAAGATTGTTAGTGTGAACAACTACTTGGCTGGCTTCCCCACTGACAGCTGTTTGGCTCTTATCTGTTTCTTTCGATTTTTGTATTTGTCATTTCCCATTTTCCTCCTCTCTACCTCACATTCTTCCTTATGTTCTTTATCTTTCACTCGTGAAAACCCTTCCATGATGGATCGTTTGTCTCAGCTCTGTGAGTCATCCGTTTATCTCCATCCCTCTGACCTAGAGTGCATGGTGTGACGTGTCTGCCCGACTCATTCAGCAAAGAGGAAACAGACTGCCACATTATGTGTCAGGCAGAAAACAATTAGCCCTCTCTCATAATCGTCCTGCTATCCAGGCCTCTGCTGCACAATGGATGTGTGTGTGTGTGTCTGTGTGTGTGTGTGTATCGTGTCACTGGGGCGCTGCTGACAATTTCTGGGAAAGTGCCTTTGTGAAAAGAGAAAGTCCTCAATAGTGAATGCATGTGTGTGTTGTCGAATTTTTGTGACAAAAAAAGTCCTCAAAAGATGAAAAGATGAGTGAAATGTTCTTCTGGACGACTTTTTTTTATTGCACAAGGGGTTCATTTCGGATTGAAAGGAAATGGTGAAGTAATGCTGTTGTTTGCTACATTGATGCTTCTCCATGTTTCTCACTCTATTCTTCATAATATCAGGACATGTCTCTGTCCAACTGCGTCCTACAGAGTTGCAAAGTGGGACGACTGAGTTCAAGGTTCTGGAAGTAAAAGTCCTGCTCTTTGTTTCTACATATACAATGTCAGCTGACAGTTTCAGCATTTTCACAGCTGGGATGGGCATGGTTGAAACACTGGTTGAAACATTCTTACTTTAGTCTAGTTTATTTTAGGAGAATGCCAGGATTAGAAAGACTATAATTCATCTGTAGTCCCGGGCCAAGGTGTTATAAGAAGCCTGTGTACACGACTCCTCAGTGTGTTTCAGTAAGAAGCATCCAAAATCACTGAGCTCCAAAGGATGTGCACCACAGAGCAGATGTTAAAGATTGTGCTGTTGAGAAACATCATTAGGGCTGCAACTGACAACTGTTGTCACTGTTGAGCAATCTTTTCAGTTGGTTTCTTGAGGAATAGATCCATAAATCCTCTTTAAAATGTGGAGAAGTAGTGTAAAAGCAGCCATCACCCCTTCTTAGAGCCCAAAGTGACGATGTTAGAATTGTATGTTTTTCAACTATGGTGCTTTAGACTTGGTCTAAAACATTTTCAAAAATTTGCTACAGCTGTAATGGAAAACATTACACCATCTTGAGCTTTTGTGTTGATTACTTTCACTAAAATGACATTTCAAACATGGGACTGAACAGGGAAGAAGACAAAACCAAGACTCAGTCAGAGACAGTTGTGGAGGAAGTGACCATTTTTGGAAAATGGGTATACAGTTACATTTGGCAGATTAGGCTCCGTTGTATGAGGGAGCTGTCAAAGAATTACATTGGGAGGATTAATACCGCCTTAATAAACTCACACATGAAACCTTGGTTAAATGAACAGGATAAATACAACACATAACGTGGATGGTGGGGATGGTGGAGTGTCCGGCCGTAGTAACCGCGCTGCACAACTGCATGGATGTGATTGGACATGGCCCGTCAGCTGATAGCTACACAACTGGTGATTGAGCCTGGGACTGTGAAGCATGAACAAAACAGCTGATGCCGCGACTAACCTTAGTCTGGTCAATTTACACTAATATTTATGTATGGCTGAAATTTACTTCTTTTTTTTTTTGTGAAAACAAAGTTGGTCCAGCCATCACCATATTTGGTGCTATAGGCATTAAACAGGAAGTGAGTCATGGTCATGATCAGGTATTGCTTTCTCAGTCTTCTTTTGGTGAGTTGCATTCATTTTGCAGTCTGTTTAAAAGGCTTCTCTCTGTAAAAAAAAAAAGAGCAGAGACTTTGTCAATTCATTGATCAACAGAAAATGAATTGAAAAGGGGTTTGATGACCGATTAATCTAACTGTATAAAAAAAGTGATTTATTAAGAATAAATGCCAAATGTGGCGTCTCCAATGTGTGGATTTGCTTCTCTTTTCATATCTTTTCAAACTGAATGTCTTTGGGGTTTTGGAACGTTGCTTGGAAAAAAAATGGTGATGGTCATTTCAATCAGAAGAGACTTAATGTTTGGTGATTGGACCCCATCGTGACATAGTCCTATTGGGGGGGGGGTGGGGGGGGGGAGTGATGCCATGGTTAGTAAGGAAATAAAATGTAGTTTTTCTCTCGTTATTTACATTTGTCGGTTCAGAATAAGTTTATAATAAGTTTTCGTGAAGCCAATAGTGTTCAGACACAACAGGTTGTGTGATAGGAAGAACGTGGGTGCTGCGTGTGCATAAAAGTTCACGCTTGGCCGTGACTGCATTATAAAAATAGATATCCTCCCTGCCCCAGTAATCAAACTGTGAAAACATTCTTGTACCACCATCAGATGACAGTACTGATTGGGCCTATAATGCGAAACACATTGACCTCTTTTTCAAGTCAAGATGAGTCCAAGGATTGTAGTCTGGTTAGTATAAGTAAGTCAATTCAGTACTATTTTGGATTTAGTAAAAAAGAAAATACCAGTAGAAGCATTGGGGTGTGTTTTAATGGTTATTTATGAGGATTTCCATACTGACAGTATGCTATGTAACAGTAAACTAAAGAACAGTGTGTCAGTGCATTTATCGTATTGTTACCAAACACATCAGAGCTGTTTGAACCACCTGTGGTCTGTGGTATGATATGTAGAACAGAGGCCTTATTGTCACAGCTTTACACTAAATAAGTAAGCAGGAGAGTTTCGATATATAGCATGTTAGAATGCATACATTGTGTACAGTGATTGGCTCAAATCCCAATGCAACACTGAGCAACGAGTAAGTTCTTATTGTAGGGTGTGGACAGGACGATCAACCCAGCACTTACACATGGAAACAATCCCGTAATTTACTGCAGTACATTTGGCTGTGACAACACTGGCAGTAACGTCACCAAACAGGAAGTGTAACTTCACAGGGGAGTCACAGAAATTCTGAATAATAACTTGATTGACCAGGTTTCATTTAAGCCTAATAACGGGTTAATCATACCAGCAAAACAACGTATTCGTCCAGCCCCGCTGTCTTCCCCACGGCCCGAGTTGTGAGGGGTTAGTGGGGGTAAAGTGTGAGCTCCAGTGAGGCTTGTGGTGACTTCATGCTGGGCAGGTCAGCGTGAAAATCAATGAGTGCCAGATGCTCCCTGACCTAAAACTTCATCAGAAACACATGTTTGCTAAGGTGTGCCTCTTCTACAAAAAACCCTGCTCTCTCTTCTTCTTATAAGACCCAGCTTGTGCCGTAGCTTTAGCATATTGTAACTTCAAAACTTCTTTGTATTACTTTTAATCTGCACAATGCAAGATGGCGTTTTTTTGGACGTTTTGGTGTTGACCACACCGCAGATAGGACGGCTAATAGAGCGCACACAGTTTTTTGAGGTAGAGGTTTAGGTTTCAGAGCAGAACAGACTTCCTGTGTTAGCCCAAAAGTGGAGACCCTTAACATGCTATGTGTAGTATCGCAGTGCGGAGCTATAATAGTCAGCTGAGCCCTGAGTAATGGAAACTTTCCGCTGCTGCTCTGATGTAAAGGGTCTGATCAGTGCAATGCTGTACTGAAGTGTTCCATATAGCCCTGTCGGTTTTTTGTCACCACATTGACCCGTGTCCGAGGCATGCCTAGGCCCTTCTGTGCCCCAACGGTGCTTTCCTGCACTTGCACAGCGAGGCTGCTTTGTCGTCTTTACGCGGCGAGCGTTTCCTCATCGCACTCTGTCACTCTATTTTGTCACTCCAAGTGGTTCTGCAAAGTAGTAACATTTTTATTTTTGCCCTTCGGGCTCTCTGTCTTTGCTCCGCGCCTGGCGTTCCTTTCTTTGCAGCAGCTGCACTGCTCTGTTTACCACATTGAGACACACACTCACAGTTACAGTGAAAGTGGAAAAACAGTTTGATGACCTTCCACCTAATCTCCCCCCCCTCCGTCGCCCCCACCACCGCGAAAAAAAAATTGATATCCTGTGGAAGTTCCTCCAACAGAAACAAAGGCTGTGAATGAAAAAAAAGGAGCATCTGGGTTGACAAAGCGCTTACTCCACGAATCGATATGCTGACACGAGTCCATATTTCACGGAGGTTGGCAGCCACAGTGTAGTCTTCTTAGATTCACCAGCAGTTACAATATACTACAATGGTGGCTACATTTACCTGGGAATATCATCAACATTCTATTCTGTAAAAAACAGCAACAATCTTTTGTAAGATTGGGAGTTTTTTTTGTTTTTTTTAAGTATTCTTTGCATCTTACTTCATACCCAAAACACACTGCCATTGTTTTGTAAGTTTATGCAGCATGCACTGGTTGAATACAGCAGCACTCTGTGTCACTTTCGTTATGAATGTTAAATGTTTCAGGTCCCTTATAATTTGCTCCCAGTTTCATTATCTATCGCTCTAGTGAGTGTGTTTTGCGCTGCCTACATAGCATCTGCTGCTGTCATGCTCTTCATTTTTTATGCCCTGACACTGCCCTTGTTTTGGCCGCTTTGTAAATAGATGCCAGACTGCCATCGCTTACTACCTATCTGTGGGCAAATAGCGATGGGACAAAACACGTGGGAAGCTAATGTGCAGAGGAAAGCACAAAGTGGACAACGTCCAAAGAGGCGAGGTGTGTCAGAGGCGCTGGGTGTTTTCAGGAAAAGAGGGCAGAAATGAAAAAAGTCTGATAAGAAGTGAACCAAACTAGTTCTGCAATAACATCACATTGTAAGCAGAACTGGGGGGTTTTCTCACCGGCTGCACAACTTCGATCTGAACTCAAAGTGATCACACAGCCACATTTCCTCTTAAACTTAAAGGAACATCACCGTGTCTTAGACCTGGAAGTTGTATTATTTTGATAGAAAATAAATGATATATATACGTATATATATATATATTTAGCGGAAATCACACAACAAAAACTCATAAACACATGAGTGTCAAAACAGGAAGAAGTCATTAAATACGTTTTATTTACTTAAACTAAGTTGACGCATTTACATATTTATACTACATTTATTGATATATTTATCGGCTGATCTATATATTTCAGGATTTATGTCAGTTAATTTCATCGGCATATATATTCATTTGATATTGAATAAAATGGCATTCCATACTTTTCTAGTACAGGTATGCTGTATAATGCCATTAGTAACAATGAAAAACTGAAAGTGATAACAGTCTGCACTCTGCTCGTACTGTGGTCTGTGCTATGAGAGTGATTTCCTTCCTCTTATCATTGCAGGGTGCAAAAGAGGACCCAGCCCAGAGTAAAGAGCCAAAGTTCCTGGGTAAGGCTGGCTGGGTGAAGAAGGCCCCCGGCAGGCTCTTTACAAGCTATAAGGACCGCTACGTCCATGTGGAGAAGACAGAGATTGTGGTGTATGAAAATGAGGTACGCTGCCATTTCTGCTGCAAGTTGTTTCTTCCAACTAATGCAGCACTTTCACCATTATGCACCATATTCCTGAACTGAATCATGTAACTGTTGGAACGTCACACTCTATCCTGCTTTCATAAAATCAGAGAAAGCTCTCAGTCACATAACTGTTCAGAATACTGTGGCTACAAAGACAATACAGTCCCTGTTAGAAGGTTGTTGGGTTCTTCCTTTACGGAAATTGTTGATATTAACAAAAAGCTAAAATCTTGTCATCTTTATCCTGTAACTGGAATAACAAATTTGCCCATAATCTTGTGTTGCAGGACCTGCAGAACTGCTTAGAAAGGGTTGACCTGGAAAACTATGATAAGTGTCATGAATTAAGGAGCCCCTTCAAGAAGAAGCACAGACTGATACTGATTCGATCACCCAAGCCTGGAAACAAGGTGAGCTGGGAGATGCTTTGGGGGAGAATAGAATTTGATGTAAATGCTATAGTAAGAGATAAAATGAGATCCCACCATCTGGTTAAAAGGAATACTTCACCCACGAAATGACCATTTGTATGTCAGTTACTCACTGCATGTCACCTTGAATTCTTTCAGACAACTTTCTCGCATGCCGCAACGGATGATAAATTTGATTGTTCTTGCCTACCACACTTTTGTCAGCACTGATGCCAAGTCAACGCAAAAACTTTGGCTAATATCAAAGCTGCACAAAGTGTTGCCACAATTCGGAAATGCACATTAGCCATTGTTTCTTTTTTTATCTGTTAAATACCACTAAACTATGTTTACCGTGATGTTACTCCAACGCAACAAACTGCTCAGCAGCACTCGCGTTTTCCCACCACGGATGTAGTGTTTTCCACCGTTGTCTTTCGGCAATACGTCACCTCTTGAGATTTCAGAACGAGACTTGTCCATGAGCGAGACTCTTTCCGTAATATTGTCAGACACTTATAATGACAACGAGAGGCTTTCAGTGGCAACTAGCACTTTTAGTGGATGTACATTGATGGTGCCAGCTGCAGTCCCTATTAGTCAGTTTGACACAAAAACATGGGAAATTAGGGTCCTGGTTGAAAAATACCAAAGTTACCCTTCATGTAACCCATGAAATCACAACCACAGAATGTCTCTTGTTCGAAGTTCAGCCCGGAATCTTTGATGCATCTCTCTCCTGTAGTCTGTCCTTAAAATTGCAAAAAAAATGACTTTACTAGTGAATTTAGCTGTAGTAGTGCAAAGAGAAGTGTGTAAAGATTTTTGCAACTCCACAACCTGAACAGTTGCCATCACCAGGAGGGAGGGGTTTATATGTGCAATGCTGCAATGTGGACAGCTTTTGTGTGTGTGTGTGTGTGTGTGTGTGTGTGTGTGTGTGTGTGTGTGTGTGTGTGCGTGTGACAGAAAGAGAGAGGTTTACATTTACTTCACGAACACACAGTATTGCTCTCTTGTGCGTGTGTGTCACTTTTTCCCCCCCAGTCCATATGCAGTGACCAGGCTGAGGAGTGAGTCAGACACCAGTACCATACTGCTGCTTTTACTCATTTGAAATATCCACAATTTCTGGCTGTGGCTCTATAATCTGTAATGTTTTTTTTTGCTTATAGTAGTACAATTCTTTAAATGTTATGTGATGATAAAAATAAGATTCCAATAACCTTGGTAAAGACGAGACATTAAAGGCAACCCGTGAAGTTTCTGACCCTTAGTTGAGCAATAGAGCTACTATTTCTTCTGTTCTTTCCAGCCGTATTATAGCTGAGACTAAACCAAATGTTTTGATGTCCATTGTCACTGCAATTTTCTGAATAAAGGGGAAGTAAAAAAAAGGGAAACATCGTTACAAAAGATTGTTTTCCGAGTTGAAATACCATCATTCCACATTTGACAACAACACCCTATTTGTTAAACTCAGAGTTCCTGAATCGGTCGGTAGTTTGTAGTCTATTGTGGCCGTTCAGGGTGAATGAAGTGAGAGGGCCCGACCAGGATTTGAACAGCTACTTGGCTGCCACTTGGTTTCTCCGGGGTAACCCTCCTCAGCTCTGGCTCTAAATGGCTGAATGGTGCCAAAAAAGATTTGCTTAAAGCAGCGCAGCAGCCAGCGTTAGTTTTACTTTAGTTTATCAATCTTATTTTGAAATGGCGATTCTGTACAGCTGACACGAGTCATGTCTTTATGTGACTGACAGGTCCATGATGTGAAGTTCCAAGCTCAGACTGCAGAGGGGAAGGAGGCCTGGATTAAAGCTCTGATTGATGGCATCAATCGAGCAAAGAACAAAGTCTTCGATGAGGTAAGCGTCTCGTAATTTCAGTCAATGACATCCTCGTTGAGTTTTTATACACGCTGAGCCCATGAAAGCTCAAATGGATTCGGTGAAAACACAAATCAATAAGCGCTGTTTTCACAGGTGACGGTTGATGAAAGCATTAATTTAGAGCATGTTACTCGAACGAGGCCCAAAGGGAACCGTAACCGGCGGCCACCGACCAGGATACACATGAAAGAGGTTTGTGAGTGTGTGTGTGTGTGTGTGTGTGTGTGTGTGTGTGTGTGTGTGTGTGTGTGTGTGTGTAACGGGACACTGTGTGGTTGGCTCTGTTGCTACAGTGAATGAGTCCAGATTTGAATTTCAACTGTGTTGAGCTTGTTGTTCTTCTCATGATTGGGTTCATTGTCGGTTCAAACACACTCAGTAGGTGTGAATGTGTGTAAGAAGCTCTGGATAAGAGCGTCATCTGAACTAAATCGTTCCCGTTGGTGATTTCATGCGGAATTGATATTTTCATAGCTCACATGAAGTATAATATTTTTGGTTCCAAATTTCAAAGCTCGAGATATATATATATATATATATATTTAAAATACTGTATTTATTATTACTAAATATATATTAAGTATATGTTACAACATTTTAGAAAAACGACCTTCTGCTGTTAATACAAACTCCACACTTTATGTTTACCAGTTGTCTTGATCAATTCTGGATGATCCACATCATTATTCCCATTGCTTTCTAACAGAAATATTGTTGTTAATCACTAATTAAATCACTTGTACAGATTTTCGAGGGTTCATAATCCCTTCCCTTTCTGGTAGACTTTCATTATGAAATTTCTGAGCTGAGTTTCAATGATAGCAGCTTTACACTGAAATAAAACAAAGACGTAGAAGTGAATTTGTGAATGAAAACAGTATTTCTGTTAAAAAGAGAAACTCAAATGCAGCAGACTGGTGAATATGACATGACTCCTCGGGCCTTTTTTCACCTTAGCTTTAATTAGCAACTAGCACTTATGTTTGTATAACAGCTTTTATTTGAGAATTTATGGTTTCTTGGCTTTGGATTTAATTAAATGTCTACGTGATATCTTTTCTTGCCCTGTAGGTAGCTGATGTGTCGTCTGATGGTATCCTGCGTTTGGATCTCGATCTTGAGGATGCCATAATGCCTAATGGGACCCATCATTCCAGTGTTGATGGCACTGAAACCCCCAAAGAGGCAATTAAAGCCCCAACTCCTCCGTCCAATGCCAGTGAATCTGCTGAGGAGGCTCAGACTGAGCCAGAGGTCAGTCCCAAGAAAAAGGTCATCAAACCTCCCATGCCCCCTACCAAAGAGGCAAAACGCAGTTCAACACTTGAGGATGAACCTGACAAGGATGAGAAGAAGGTCTGTATAATGCTATACAACACTTATCATACAGTGCAGTTTATGTCTTTCTGTTTGCATAAAATGGTCTCTAAAAATGGGTTTACATGTTCTTAAGGTTCTGAAGCCGCCAATGCCTCCATCTAAAGAAGCCAAGCCGTGTGCTTCACCTGTTAATGACGCCACAGAAGAAGAGGTCAAAGCTGAGAAGATGTCTGAAAAGAGTCCCGAGGCCAAGAAAAAGACAGGTCCACCGCCAACCCCTCCCAACAAACCCAGCTCCACCGGCTCCCTAAGCAACCTTGCAGAGACCTCACAGTCCAGGCCAAACTCCCACCCTCCAACCCTTCCATTGAAAGAGAAAAAACCATCCAATTCTGCTGTGGAGCCAGACCAAAAGGTTCAAGGCACGACTGACGAAAATTTGGTGAAGGAAGAAGGCAGTCAAGAGGAGGCGGCAGGAACAGCTGCGGAAGCACATGAGCCAGACAAGTCAATATCTAAAGAAGCTCCACCTAGTGTCGGAGATGATGAACCTGAGAGTCCCGGCGCAGAAGGACAGGTTTCTGAAGAGGAATCAGAGGAGACTATAGGTAGTGACGTAAGCAAAGCATCCGACAATGAGCCACAAGTACCCACAGAGACACTCGGGAAGAGCACCAGTCCTCTTCTAATCCTCAAGAAAAAGCCTGAGAAACCTGTTGAGCCTGACACACAAAATACAGGCGATAACACAACTGTAACGCAGATTAATGATGGACAGGACCCTACTGCGTTACTGCCAACAGCCTCAGATACCTCAGCCAGTTCTCCTCAAGCAGAAGAGGCACTACCCAGGAGTGATGTCCCCTCAGTAGTCGTCTCTTTGAATGACCCGGTCAGCGACAGCCTAAGCCTGAGTCCGCTGCTCTGCCACTTGCCTGGGGAGAAAAAAAAGAAGATGGAGGAGAAATCTGTAGACAGCGGTCAGCACTCAGATGATGACAGCGAGGGCTCTGGGAGCGAAGACATGCTGGTGGCATCTACGGCCGCGTTGAGAGGAATCCACGCCGGTCTGGATGTTTTTGACACCAGCGAGAACGACATTCAGATCCCCGTTAGCTCAAAGCCGAAGAAGGCCCCACCCAAGCCTCAGGTTAGACCCAAGGTCTTCTCCTGTCGGCGCTCAGGGCCCACTCCGCCCCTCAAGCTCTCAACCAAGGTCAGGTCAGCCTCCATCGGAGATCTGCTGTCTGATGACTCTTCAGTCTGTGTTCAGGCGAGACAGCATACCAGAGCTGTGGCTGGTGGCGACGGGGCCCCCGGTGCCGCCGTCATGAAACTTGAGACCGAAGTGGCGCTGGAGATGGAGAAGACGAGGGAGCTCCTGAGCAGAGTGTCCCAGTCGCAGGGGGGAGGTGACGGGGATGGCAAGACAGAGGATCTGCTGGCCAAGGCCATGGAGAAGCTGAAGAAGGCCGACCATGTCCTGAGAGAAGTCAATAAACTGAAAATTGCAAACAACTCAAGCTACAGGAAGAGCTGGTGAATGCCAGTCACAGCAGATTTGCTTAACCCCTCTCCTGAACAGTGATTGTCCAGTCATAGCTTAGCAACCTTTGATAGGCACAGCAAGCCTGTCAAGCTTTGGATTTCTCCACACAGTCTGCTGTATGATTTGCATGAGGCTGAAGTAAAAGTGATATTCGATATTGCCTTTCCAAAACTAAAAACATGCCAAACATGTAAGAAATAGATTCAACAGGGTGTTTGTCCGCTCCAATGTAAGCCACAATCATTAGCGTGTCTGGATAACAGGCTTACTACCTACAGTTACTTCCAAGGTCTTTCAAATAGCCTTTCAGCTAAACACATTATTTTGTGTGGTTATTGGTTTAAAAGAAACCCTATTCACAATGAGCACATCCACAATGTACTATCTGTGTGGAGGCCGGTCCTGGATTCTATCAGAGTTTAGACTAATGTTAGCGACTTTGTCCTGCTCTTTAATGGATCTGCATCCTAAAAGCCTTTTCACTTGTAATGTTAAAATTGATAAATGAAGATCTGTGACATTCGAGCCCTTGCCAAATGAGTTAACACAGAAAGGGGGAAAGAGCATATAGCGACAGAGGAGCAGCTAGGAGTATGGCGGAAACTATGGCGGATAATTGTAACAAGCGTCCAAGAAAAGTTTCTGGAGTGGATGTTGCAGATAAAAAAGAAACTTGGCGTTCAGAAGAAGGATTAAAGTCCCAGTGAAACGGAAGTTAGAGCGTCTTTAGCTTCTGCACTGTGACGTATTCCCAACTGAAACGGAAACAGATTTGAACAGTTAGAAGAGGGATTTAAATTAAATCCTCGCATCTGATTGGACCACTAAAAAGTGGGGCTTGCTTAAAATGTAGCGTGATATAGAGCTACAGAGGACTGTGGCTCCGCACAAAACCTCCTTTGTCGCTAAAACTTGCAGATTGATTGATGGATGGATGTCATGATATTGAATTCGGTTGGCACTAGCTTACGTAAGCACACTCAACTTTTGTTTTACAGGAGGAAAAGCTGAGTGGATTTTGACATAAAAATATGAAGAAATTGATTTTCTTGTAATTGTTTTGCATTTATTGTTAAAAAGGCATTTCTCAATTCATCTCAACATCAAAGTTAAAAAAGAGAGAAAGCAATCAACGTAGAGGACAAACACTCCTGGGGGCGGGTGAGATGCGGAAACCTCACTGGCATAGCCAAGTCATAAGCAGCGTCAACGGTGTTTGTGTAATTTCTCTCCCTACCAGAGGGGGCAGACTAAAGTTCCTCACTCCAGCTTTAAACGGACACATCGATCAACTTGTGGAGATTAGGACTCATTCTTGCAGCACGCTATTGACTGAAACTTGGGCAGCATGACTCATCTTTTATAGTTATGCAGCACACGCAACTGTTCATATAACTGCTCATATAACTAAGTGCAATTATTTCTATAGTTTAACTCTCTGCAGCTGAAGGTAATGCTTTACGCTCTACTGTGTATATATAATTTTTTGTTTTTAATGTGAAATATCAGTCATTTTTGAGAACAAGTACTTGAAAGTTAATTAGAGAATTAATAATATAATGACAAAGCAGCACTGTCATACATTGAGAACATGCAACAACAAAAAAGTACTAAAAAGTGTTAATACCAAATTACACAATTGTTTTAATAGTTTACTCTTCTTTGTGAATTGAATAGGCTTTTTTTTCCTATTTTCAGATACCATGTTTATGCTGGCAGTTTATGAGGGAATTAATATTGTACATACTTAATGCTTTTATTACAGCATGTGCTGTTCATTGTCGATGAGGAAAGATGTACCAACCTAGCTCAGGAGTTCTCTGAAATAAATATTTTCAGACTAATCATGTGATTAAAGCAAAATAAAGTACTGGTAATCCAAACTGATTCCAGTTTTGTTACTAATGATACTGTTTTCATACTGATATTGTACATAACACCGAACAAAGAGCTTGTAGCAGCCCTTTTGGCTCTAACCAACCCCTCTTACAGTTTAATTTCACTTATGTCCCTATTTCTGTCCAATTATTTGTTATTAAAAAGATGTGACGATAGTGTTTAAGACTATTTCAAATATGTCAAGCCTTTTAGAAAATGCAAGAATATGTTTTAACCTGACATATTGTACTCGTTTGATACAATTTGCTATTGCCCAAATAAACAAAGTGAAACTATCTGTTTATGTTTTGTGTCTTCAATGGAGTTGTACCTCTAAGAAAGTGTTACATCTATTCTGATTTACTCTGTGGCCTATTAATTCCCTTTAGAAAGATCTGTTTTCAAACCTTGCCGAAAACGGCCAAGATGATTTTAGTCTGTCCACTTAAATTGTTATTTACGTTATGCTAAAACAATACTTCATCAGTAAAATTGGCAGAACATTTTCAACAAATCTGAACAATCAATTAATCGTTTGTTTTGTTTAAACAGTAATCTTCCAAGCAATAACAACATGTGTGATGGTGGTAGCTTCGCAAATGTGAGGATTCGCTGCTCTTCTATGCGTCACATCACTTTAAACGTAATATCTGATGTGAATATTATTCTTTAGGATAGCACAGGATGTTTCACCTTTAAATATTGACTTTAAAATAAATCATTTTATTTTGAAAATCGTCACCGGAAATTGTATTTCCACAGTTCTACTGTGCGGCTTGACAGAAAAACTGTAAAGCATATCGCCCAACCTTCTTTTCATCTCCTGGAAGAAAAAAAATATATTACCAGCACTACAATGAGAGAGACGAGGGCAAAGAGTTAAAACAGCGCAAAGATGGAGGACGGGCTGGTGTCGGAGGATGATATCTGTAAGTACGAACCAGGGAGCGACCGACTGTCAACTGTGAGCAGCGGTGATGAGCGGCGGGGCTTAAACGTTAATTGTGGGCTACTTTCTGACAACCATACAGGACGGGGTCTGTATTCCTGTGGTGTTTTACACGATATGAATATCCGTTTGTGAGGCGGACGGCGGACGGCGGGCGGTGACGTTACTTACTGTACAATATGTGACGTTTTAAATACAATATTCATGTTCTGTTACCTTCTATAACACTGTCACTTTGCTTCAAGATTTGGGAATTGTTGTCACAAGTAACCGCTTTTAATTACCGGGAAACGTCGGTGAAAACATCACAGACGGAATTTTCCACCTCTTCTCCATGTGCCTGTCATAGACTGATATTCTATATTTATTATAAGGAGCATGTCAGAGAATTCCCAGCATGCAGTGGCTTTCAGATCTGTACTAATACTGTCTGTATTCTTCTGCCAATTAAGTGTAATATACCAATGTCCAGTGCTTCCTAACACTGCTCCAGCCAGTCATGTACAGGGTCAATAGCATGAGTCTTATTGAATACAGTGCAAATTAACTTGTGTTTTTTTCTTGCTTCTTGCCGGCCTGCCGAACACACTTGATAACCCTCCTTGTCTATAATCCCTGACAGTAATTTGGTCAGAAAAGGAGTTCCACGACGCTGCGAAGAGGAATGACCCGGAGAGAATGCAGGAGCTGATCAAGAAGGGTGTGGACGTCAAGGCCAAAAATAAAGTAAGCCTGCTGAAGGGGTTCTTGCCAGTCGTTGGCTTTTCGAATTTACAGTTTTCAAAGCCGCATTATTTAATTTCCATAGCAAGTCTGCACCCCGTCTGCAGTCAGGCTCATCAACAAAGCCCAGGACCCTCTACCGACTCGGACACTTGCATGCCCAGGACAGTTACTTACAGTCACACACACCTTTGCACAGCTCTACCACACTTGACACTTTAATGACATACTTGTTTTAAATGTACTCTTACTTGTTTGTTTGTTTATCATATTTCATTGCCATTTTTTACATTTTCTATTTTTTAATGATGTCTTTTACTACTGCACTATGTTTATTGTCACGCACCAATCACCAAGCCAGATTCCTTGTATGTGTGACGTACTTGGCAATACAAGCATTTCTGATTCTGATTCTGAAGAAAAGCCGAGGTGAAATCGAGGCGACAGAGACATTTGCTAAAAAGGAAGCGAGGCATGCCAATGTACGTTTTGGTACGAGTGTGTCTGAACACCATGTGTGTTACAAACTCAGGATGGAGAGCACTATAGTGATGAGCCAAAATGTCAGATAGAGTGTTATTGATCAACCAACGATGGGCTCGGTTGATCAGGGGAATTGCATTTCATTTTTTGAATGGTCAGTGTTTGAGAGTGTTGGGCCTAATTCAGCCGTGCATGCACTGTGAGTGTCGCCCGGTCACGTATCTCTCTGTCTCTGTGCAGGTAGACCGCAAAGCGCTGCACTGGGCAGCGGGAGCTGGGAACGAACAGGCTCTCCGTCTCCTGCTGGACCACGACACTGACGTTGATGAGAGGGACACTGTACGTACACACTTTTGCAGGGAGAGCCACTGGACTCATTCATTCCCCCGACGCAGAAATATTAACTCACTGTTAGGTCACATCACTGACTGGTGATGTAACCTAATAATGATCCCAGCCTTAGCTCTACACACTGGCCCTTTAAAGCCATACACTTTGCCATTAGAAATAAGCTATTGACATGATGGACTCAAGTGCTCATTTTAATTGTTGCACACTGTCCCTTCTTAAATAAAACAAACATAAACTTCGATGTCATCTATCAAATGTAAAATGCTTCTCTGACTATTGTGATCACGCTAATGTATTTTCACAAAGATAAAATGATTTGTCCTTTTGTACCATTTTCACAGAAAATGCATGTCTTATCATCAATATTCGACAAAACAAATGGGGGGGGGGGGGAAAGTAATTTCGGTCCGACCGCCTCATCGCTGAAGCAGAGAACTGTGGGACGGCAGCTTTATAAAGAGTGACCCTCAGTATTGTTTTTAGGTAGAACATGAGAACAGAAACACAGAGCAGGTGTTTAGTAACAAAGCCATGGTCTCTCCCTTTATTCTGACCTCAACAGACAACACTGTAAGAGGAGCGTAAAATAAAAGAAGCCGACACATTCAGGTCAGTTAACTCAGTTAGGAGACACACAGTAGGACAGAGACAGAACGAGGCCAGTACGGAGAATGCTACTTTACATACTCTGTCCTGTCAGAGCTTCACTGTTTTATAACACTTCTACATTTTTGTTTTGGTCTACAGTTCGGCATGAATGCTCTGCTTCTCGCGTCCTGGTTCGGTCACCTAAAAGTGCTGCAGATGCTGGTGTCCTGCGGGGCCAAGCTCAACTGTGACAACAAAGTAAGAGCTGCCTGGTTTCATCATCGCCGCGGACTCAAAACTATCAGGGTATCGTCCGATTTGATATCTCGTCTTTTTTACGTGATTGCGTGCACATGTGTGTTAGGATGGCCTGAGCATGCTGCACTGTGCCGCCCAGCGAGGCCACATCAGAGTTCTGGAGTTCATCATGGAGGACCTGGAAGACGTCCGACTCGACAGAGTTGACAAGGTGACTCCTTGCTCGGCACTATTTCAAATTTACACACGGATGTTGGAACTTGTCTTTTTGTAGAAGATACAACTCTAACTCTTCTTTCCATACTGTTACTGTAACAAACATTTTGCTGTTTGTCTTCAGAATATCAGCAATCTGCCAATAAATGAAGGTGAATGGAACACAGTGTGTGTATACAGATCATGTTTATAAGTATCTCCTGTGTAGGCGGGGAAGACGTCCCTTCACCTGGCTGCTGAACACGGACAATTTGAAGTGGTGGAGTTTCTGATTGGAATGGGCTGCACGCACGGTTTAAAGGACAAGGTAGTGACACACAAACACACAGTGATCGTGCTCAAGCAAACACGCACGCACAATATTTGATTTGTGAGGCTGTTAAAGCCATGTTTAAATGACCAAACAGATTATAGCAGGATGTGTTGTGACCTCAAATCCTGTGTACACTGGGCAGGGAAACAGGCCACTATAGACATACGGTGGGTGGTTGCCATGTTGTGTACCACACAAACATTCCATCAGTTTGATTTTATTGTGTTCAAATACAATTCTCTCTCCTTTTTATGACTCAAGAACTGGTGAATACATTTGTACGTTAGCATGTTGTGTAAATTAAAACTCCCCTCGCGACAGGTTAGGATTTACTGGTTTGTGTGGCAATTGTCGACACACTGAGGAGGTCGGCGTGTTAAGAAACTTCGATTGCCCCATTTCTGGTTCAGACCACAGCACCAGCGAGGCGCTGACAGCCACTCTTGACTTGTTTTGGTAGAGGAAGTTGTCTCAGATCGTAAAGTGCTGTTGTGTCTGGACTACAGGAAGAGAACACAGCCATGCATCTGGCAGCGAGGTGTGGGCACACAGAGGTCCTGCAGAAGATGGTGGAGACCGGAGTCGACGTCAACGAGAGGAATATAGTGAGTGGACTGGACTGGGCTGCATACGTTGTGCTACTTAATTAGAGCGGCTGTGGTGCATAATTGGGATTTTTTTTTCAGTTACACCTGTCACAGTAGTACACTTTTGACTGTTAAACTGCAGTGTGTTTTCTTGCACCATCAAATACATACAATTTTTTCTGTGTGGAGAAATAAATTATAAGTAAAAATCTATCTTTTGACTAAATAATAAATCGAAAAAACTTCCAAAGGTTCAACTTGAGAAGCATACCAGAATACTACAATGGGTGCTTTACGATGCAGAGTTAGGATTACTGCTCCAGTAAAGACATTAACCCTTGTCCCTTTAAAATAAATGAAAAATCTAATTATGTATTCATATTATTTTCCACTTTTACCAAGTTAAATCTTTTAACCAACTTCAGTCCTGATAATAACTACCAAATATCAATTAATTTGCAGAATTTAACCCTTTAAATGTCAGTTTGTTTATATAATGACACAGTTGTATGAAGAAAGTCTGGGATATATATATATATATATATATATATATATATATATATATATATATACAGTTCAATGGCTAAAACCTGATAGTTGTGTGTAGCAAAATAATATAAAATGATGTTACAAAATTAATATATCAAATATATTAAAACTAATTATTAAAAAATGTAAACACCACCGTCACAAACAGAGCAGCATCATGCTATCACCAATGTACCTGTTGTGTTTTCAGGATGGTCTCACAGCACTGCACCTGGCAGCTGATGGAGGTCACTACGAATGTGTCAGACTGCTGCTGGAGTCCGGCTGCAATGCCAACGCACAAACTAATGTACGGTTTGTTCATTCGACATCATATATCACTTGCAATAAACACAAGATCTAACTTTGTATTCTTATTTTTATCTTTCGACACACTGAAAGACCTCCAAGATGAAATCCTTGTTTTCTTCTGTCTGCAGAAGAATATGAATGCTCTCCATTACGTGGCTCAGCATGGCTTTGACAGGGAAGCCAGTTTGCTGCTGGAGGCAGGACTCAACAGAGATGCTGTAGACAATGTAAGTAGTGGCCGCTCCCATGGGACGTATGTCTTGGTTCGTATAGTGTAGAAGACGCAAGCGACTGGTGCTGAAAAATGAAACAAATGCGAAAGTGCCCAAAAACTGCAGTTCCTCAAATGGCCACATAAACATGTCTATAGCTAATATCCCCGTTCGGGACAACTGTACGGGGGCTGAAATTCTACCAGTTTAATGTTGATTTTTGAAACCCACGGTATCGATTTCGGGGAAATTTGAGCGTTTGGGTCCAAAACATCAAAATCAAGGAGTGTATTGTTAAGATCTGCTTCTGAATAAAGAATAATTTGTATGATCTTTGAAGCTAAATAGCCATGTTTAGAGTAAAGAGGAAAACATTTTAATAGGCAATATAACAGAGAGTGTACCATAACATTTGCTATTCATTAACATATCAGATGAAATGTTCTTCATCTTTCTTTGTGTTTGAAACCAGCAACACAACACAGCGCTCCACTTAGCTGTGTTCAACAACCACACCGAGGTTTTGCGGCTGCTTATAGATGCCAACTGTGACCTGGACATCACTGACAGTGTGAGTACAAACCTCGACAGCTGTTAAACACATTGATAAACATAAAAGCAGATGGCTGCGCAGGACCTCCGCATGTCCACGTTCATTGCAAGAAGAATGCATATTTCAGAAATGACACAGCGGCTACAGTGCAATCGTATCAGATTTTCCGTCATGTGGTTCGCAGAGACAACAGACTGCTTTGCACATAGCAGCAGAGCACGGCTGGCAGGTCCTGGCTGAGATGATGCTGATCTCTGGTGTTAACCTCAATCTGACCGACAAGGTACCACACAGCACACGGCGTCACCCGGGACAGAATACAGCTTCTCTAGTGTCATGATTGACTGCTTTTGTTCTACTTTTTATTATGGAGCACTTATGTTGTTGCTAATCATTGACATATCTCACTGGGGGGAAAAAATCCCACTAGTATTTAGTAAACAGAAAATAATAATACAAAAAAAATGTATAAGAACAGTAGCATTATATAAACAAACTGTGATTTAAAGTGTTAAAATTCGGAAAATAAAGGCATATTTGGTAATTATGATCAGGACTGAAGTTAGTTACTTAATATGATAGGATATAATGGAAATATAGAAGTTAAGTACGAGTAGCTCAGGCGGCAACCTCCGGTTCTGCCGAGTGAAGCTGATGCGGAAGCATCTTAAAACTCGCGTTCTCTCTACTGACCAGCAGGGGGCGACTCCTCCGGTTGCAAAAAGAAGTCTGATTGTATTGAAGTCTATGAGAAAATGACTCTACTTCTCACTTGATTTATTCCCTCAGTAAACATTGTAAACATGAGTTTATGGTCGCAATCGCTAGTTTTAAGTCTTCTTCAATACAGCATGATGTTCATTTAGTAAATTATGGTCCATTTAGAGTCAAATAGACCATAAAGCAGAGTATGCTTTAGGGCGGGGCTACTGTGATTGACAGGTCGCTGCGCTACCAGAGCCATATACGGTGTCTCTACGTCACTCCTCCACATTCCAAATATGGTAACTTCTGTTCTTTGGTTGCGAAATCAATGGGTGATGTCATCATGACTACGTCTACTTCTCATATACAGTGTATGGAGTAGCTCAATATTTTACTTAAATATAGTGCTTAAGTGAATGGATTTTGTTACAATCCACCATTGTTCATGTGTCATGTGGGTTTATTAACTATCACTAATTATTTTTTACATTTTATACTCAAAACAATAAAATGATGGAAAATTATAAAATTATACTATTACATTCAAATTTATTAGGTTATATTTCCATGCTAATTCTGTTGTATATATGTTATCTTATAGAGTAATGGACGTCTTATACACTGTTTTATTGACCATATCATATACTCAGCAGGGGAAAAGGTGTCTGGAGGTGGCAGCCAGAGGAAACAATGTCATCCTGGTCGACATGATCATCAAAGCTGACCGTTTTTATAAATGGGAGAAGGTGAGTTTATCTTCATTGCATCTGAAACCTTGCCTTTTATCTACTGACTAGCAGGGGGCGACTCCTCTGGTTGTATAGAAGTCTATGAGAAAATGACTCTACTTCTCACTTGATTTATTACCTCAGTAAACATTGTAAACATGAGTTTATGGTCTCAATCTCTAGTTTCAAGTCTTCTTCAATACAGCATGATGTTCATTTAGTACATTATGGTCCATTTAGAGTCAAACAGACCATAAAGCAGGGTATGCTTTGGCGGGGGCTGATTGACAGGTTGCTACCACAGCGTTTTTCGGTCTCAGAGTTGTGCGTGTTTGTCTTAGAACTTTAACCCTTTCACTGTGTGTTTTCACCTCATGAAAGTTAATTGTAAACATTTTGGCCGCCTAAAACATGTCTTGTTCAGCATTCGTTTGTACTTATACTTTGTGGAGCTCAGTGCCAGATGATTGTTACCTATGTGTGACATTAAAGTTTGTCACAAAATCTTTGTGCCCTGCTGGATTCCTCTGTTACCTTCACTGCTGCGTGCCGAGGTTCATGTGTTGCCAAAGCATCTATGTGGGCTTGTTGTTGTGCCTTTGGGTTGTCACATACCCTTGATTTCATTTGCATCTAACCACAGTACTCCAACCATCTTGGACATGTGAGTGAGCTTTGCTGGTTTTAAGAGTTATTTAACGTTTTGTGTTAACTTCAGATTCACAGATTTGCACAGTATGCCACATGTATACCTATGTACACACTTTGTATGAAAAACTTCAGGATCAGATGGCCAGCGAGCAGGACTCCTGGGTGCGGAGACCTCTTAGCTTCAAGCAGGACCACCAGCAAGAGACACAGCACCTCCGGTCCGTCCTGTGGAGCCTGGCCACCAAGCACCTCTGCCGCGGGGAGTGGAAGATCCTGGCACAGCACTGGGACTTCAGCAACGCACACATACGAGCTATAGAACAACAGTGGACTGGTGAGCTACGCCGACCTCTGGAAAATGGTTTGACAATCAAGTGACTTGTATGAAATGTTCATCAAGCAGCTAGTTTCCAGCTCAGGTGCAACCAGTGCATTTGACAGGTGGCACTGAGTTGTTTAAAAGAAAATTGCAACACTTTGTCACTCTCTCAATACTGGTCTTTGGTCACAATACATGTCAGTGGATTTTCAGTTTTCACCCATCTCAACTGGGACTTCTCAAAGATGTTGATACGTATTGTAATTCTGAACTGAACCTCTAGGTATGAAAAGCTTCAAAGAGCATGGTCACCGAATGCTGCTAATCTGGCTCCATGGAGTCGTGATGGCGGGGAACAACCCGATCAAAGGCCTCTACGAGGGGCTGGTGGAAATCTCACGGACAGACTTGGCAGGTGAGCACAGGAAACTGCACTGTGGTTTGTATTCTTGTATAAGTGTCACTGCCGCACAGAGCCACACAAGGGCTTTTAAAAAAATCTGAAATACTTTTGCATCACCTACCACGACCCGGGCACAAGTCTGTACCGTTGCGCCATACCGTTATTAAAGTCCTTAATAATGCTATAACGAATTTATCACTTTTCTATTTCTGCCGAGTGAAGTAGCATTTTCGTCAATCTGTGCTCGTCTATTTCCTGGAATCTGGAATGTGTAGGTGCATGATGTCTCCTTGTTGTTTTTCAATCATCCAGAGTGCATCCGGCAGAAGGCAAACGCAGAGACCAGCTCCCCCAAAATGTGCTCTGCGATGTGATGAACACTGTGAGTGACTGCGAAGGCATAGTCTCGCATAGCCAAACCTATTTCCACAGCGCTAAAGAAAGGTCTGGCTCCACACATGATCATCCCGGTATGGGACACTCTGTTTTGTACGTCTTTAAACCAATTACAATCATCTTTGGCGTTGTAAAGCACAGGATGCAGCGGCATTGTCCCTCAAAATAGATGCAATGTGGCCAAATGGCAGGCTTATACGCACAGTCTACATCCAGTTGGTCAGACCGCTGCAAAGGTATAACAAAGAAATCCAAGATTTCAGTTGACTTTAGGACTCTCTTTAACTGTAAATGCCCAGAACCGAGCCCATGAAAAAGCGTTGTATTATCCGTGGCATGACCGGTTTACATAGTGACACATTGAATATACTGTGATTGTTCTGAATTTAGTTCAGAGAGAAATAATTTTAGGGTTTGGGAAAAACAATGGTTGTAAACCTGTAATAAATACCTTTGTTTGTTTAAATGCATGCAGTAAACACCTGATGGCACTACTCATACTGTACTGTTGCTTTGTACACTAAGGGCTTTTCAGCACATTACGACAAGTTTTCATTCACCTTACTATAATGTAATGCTTTCTACTGTAATGTTTCTCAAAAGTTCCTCCTCCTTAAAGCTGCATCAAGTGATTGAGGGGGGCTGAGGCTCCAAAACACACTAAATAAATAGTTGTTATGGCCGATATGTTACGGTAGCAAAGAGTGGCCCTCTTACACATCCAGCAGTCACTGATGGACAAGTGATACTCTACTGGTCTGAGCTTGTTTGGGAAGGACTGACCACAGTGACAACAAAGGTGATCGGAGGCACACTTGAGAAACAGTCAATTTCTGTTTGTGTCAATGACTAAAAGTACAAAAATGCTAACTCATTTACAGGTTTTAGGACTCATTCCTGCAGCACTCTATACGTAATAATAATTATAGTTGCATGTATTATTGTAAATATTTATTTCAGAATTCAAAAGTCTGGTTCATGACACTTTCATTTCTGTCACTGCCCTCACAATCTCATGCCCCAGCCCAAGCAAGCTCAGCAACTGCTAGAAGATATAAGCAGCTAGCACCTGTTAGCTAGAACAATTATAATAGTGCTAAAATAATTAGCACAAAACACAGACACTGAGTAAACATTTATTTGCTCTGCTGCACATGCTCCCTATCCAGCCTGCTAACTAGCTAGGCGCAGTTGTGAGCTTAGAATGACATTTAGCATTGTTGTTGCTCTAGCTAACAGCAGCTAGCTGGCTAAATGTAGTAGCACTTGTTGAGCCTGCTAGCTAAGAGGCAGGATTCCTGTGATTGGCTGAAAGGTTTGGGGGAGGTGACTGATGATGAAAGGCAACACAAAGTCAAAGAGTCATTGGGGATAATGCCAATATGACATAAAAACTAACTTTAAAAAAAATGATATATATATATATTAGTGAAATAAATATTATATCAGCAAACATGTGAAAATAAACGATGAAATAACATTTCAAAATAGGCTAATGAACTGGCTAAATTCCTAAATAATTTTACAAATTGTTGATTAAATCATATATTCACACAATGTATTCATATGATATTCACTTCATGATGTCCTTTTTTATTAATTTAATATTGAACACTAAAAATACTCACTTTGGAGGATCTGTGTGGACTTAACTTTGCTTAATTTTTCTATTGTTCTCTTGTGTCTGTCTTTTGTATTCAACTTTATTTTGAAGTACTCTGTTCTATACATCTTTTATTGTGAAGTACTTTGTGATGTTTGCTCTAGGGCGGTGCTATATAAATCAATCTTACCAGGGAGACTAATGACACTGCGGCAGCTCTAGCCGTTAAATACACTGTAAACAGCTGGATTTTTTTGATAAACGTACCAGCATCTTCTTCTTGTTGTTACATTAAGGTCAGGTTTTAAACCGTTGTGGTTCTACAACAGCAGTCCTTTCTGTCTCGGTGGGGGGGGGGGGGACTTTGGGCTCTGCACTTTCTGTCTTTGTGGCCTTAAAAAATGTGTTCATTCTTCTTTTATAACCTGAGTGTTCCATTCATTTTTGGCCATAATTGTTTGCATAGAGAGAGCGTAACGACAACTTCATTCAATGAGTCCTAAATTTAACCCAGTTATCTTGAGCACAATTACGAAGGAAAAGACAGCTCAGTGTTCAGACATTATCAATCAAACTGTCTGCTGTTAACGTCTATTAGATTGTGCAGTGCCTCTGCCATTAAGAATCCAAAATTAATATATATATATATATATATATATATAGGGTCACATTTCCTCACCACATGCATTGGAGCTTTTACTGGCGCTAACGTTCGCTAGCTAACAGTGGAAAACACCTGATTGGCGTGGTGACATTTAAACGTAACTGGTTATTGAAATCAAGCATTTTAATTTGATGTTTTTTATTCATTTGAATTCTTGACCACATTTAGACTTTTACATATATAGCATTGTAAATTGAATCTAACCTGTTGGTAGTACCTGCGTGGACCACTAGATGGTGCTCTGAGGCCAACCACGGCCCACTGGTTGAGAAGAGCTGCTGTAGGCTGGCAGTTTAGTAGGAAAACAATAATGGAAATTTCACAAGGTGGTTTTGCAAGATGATTAAAAAGACAGCAAAGTAGAAATTACTTTCATCTCACACAAAATGATATACGTTTATTTTTTCACGTTTATTTTTTTGTGAATTTTGACTTCTTCTGGCCTCTAAAATATTTCAATGAAAGGAGGAAAAGAAGCTCTTTGTTGATCTGGTCATAACTCATAAACATATGCAACGGCGTGTGAGGGTTCAGAAGTATACACAAGTTGTATTTTTAGGGGGTCATCAGCCAGGAGGTTGGAAAGCACTCGTCTAGATAACTGGGTTCAACTGGGCATCCTATATCTGGGGTGTGAACTGCAAGAAATGGGAAATTAAAAATGAAAATCAAGTTTATTAAAAACAACTTGAGGAATTGTATGTGTGTACATTTACAAGTGTAGTTTTGTTTCTGCTTTATTCATGTTTATGAATCCACTGGATTGATGCACTAAACCAAGTCATACATTGGACATTTGTTTTTTTGGGACACTCAAAATGTATTTTAATGCACGATGTGAACAAGTTTAATGGTGTGTAAAATATTTGCCTTTTTTGCATGAATATATATCTCTTCCCAAGTATTTTCACGAAGTAAACGTCCTTTTTATAATGATTTCCATGATAAATCTGAGGTTTTTTTAAGTGCTGTGTTTTGCTGGATTTCTCCATGAATGCACCTTTTTGAATGATCACTACTGGATTAATAAAGAACAGGGTGAGCATGTTAAGAGACAAGCAGCTGAGTTCTAAATCATATGTGTCGATGAGGTATAAATACAAGTTTGACATTTTCTGTGCAGAGTCACCTTTTAAAAAGTCAGACTAGTCCTCGAACCCCTCATGAGATAAATGATTATTGTATAATTGATCAATAACTACTTCTGCACCAATCCAAATTACTTTTGTATATTGTATGTATAAACTTCCAATGCAACTATGTACATGACATGTTCATAAGATCAATAAAAAAACAAATTTCCACGTTGCAATGTTTACCTATGGACCATCATTCTCTAACGACAAACAACAATAGTCCGATAGAAGATTAAAAAACAAACTGCTGGCGTTATTGCAGCCTTTGATGATACACAACTCAAACATGCACCATCATTCAAGGTAGCTTGTGCAGTCACTCCAAGTTTGACTTGGATTTCCTCGACTGGTTGTGGTGAATACTAAAGGAATTATGTGTTATTTAATAATGCAAATATTTACTGATCAATAAACATTTACCTATCGTTTTACGTAACAATAAATAAAGATATATACAAATAAATTAAAGTGTTTGTGTAAATAAACACAAAAGCAAAAAAAAACCAGTATGTTTCATATGTCAAATGAATAAACGTAAATAAACGATGTGTACGTGCCGTTCTTGTCGCATTGCATTCTGGTTCTTGTAGTCGATTTGTGTTGTTCCGCTGTTATTTTTTTGTTGTCGCTGCAGAGATCAGCTGCTCCGTCCTCACGATGTCTTCGGGCAGCACAGCCATGCAGACAGCCGAGGCTGGAAGCGAAGGTTTGTAATTTAGCTCAAACATCGCAGACAGGTGCCACACTGGCTGCGTTTTTGTCCCGTTGTGTTTAGCGACACTAGCGAACTTAAAGCTGACCACGCTAGCTAGCATGCTAACCCGCTGGTCTTCTGTCGCTAACTTCGGGGCGTTATACACACACACTGTTCTCACATAAGTGGATAATACATTTTTACGGAATTGTATTAAGTCTCGTCTGTCCATCTCAGGAAACAATAGGACGTCGTGTCCGTTACACGGCTGTAAGCGTGTGTACTCGGACAAGACTTCTCTTGAGAGCCACATCAAGGACCACGAGATCTCCGCTCAGTCACTACCAGGTGAGCCCTTCACTTCTGCAAGTTCGTGCGCGTGAAGTAAATCAGTTTTAATGCGACGGTAACAGCTCCATGTTAATAGCTAACCCTAACATTTTAGAGAGGAACCATTATTGTTGGCTTTAATAAACATAACATTAAGCTTAGTTTCCTCCAGTTATAATGCAGATGAACGACACCTAATGTTGGTCTGAGAAGGGGGTTTGGCTCGAGCTTTGGAAAGACAGTTTAGCATGCAGGTTTACATTGTTTGGTGTAAATTGTGTTTTTTTCCAAATGGTATAATGAGTATTAGCTAACTCTATGTTTATGGATCTACTCTTTTCCCCATCTGACAGAATAAGTCTCCTCACTGAGAGAGAGAGAGAGACTCAACCACACAATGTGGAGTTAGGAGAATAAGGCCCTATCTGGCTGTAGTTTTTTGGGAGTTTGGAGAGATGAGAGAAGCTGTGCTGCCGTTGTGTGGTTAGTGAACCTACATGGTGTGAACGCCGTCCGTCCTCTCCTCAGGAAAGGTCCTGCTGTGCTCCACCGTTGGATGCAGCGGATCCTTCCCCGACATGCAGAAACTGATGCAACACATGAGGCATCATCACAAGCCCAACATATTCTTCCTGTGAGTTGCTCTTTGATTTTACTCTCTGCTGCATTGAAAATGTTTCGAGTCACGTAATAAGTTGCTTCTTCCTCCGAAAGGTGCGAGAGCTGCCGCACAAAGTTGCGATCCTACCGCGGCCTCCTGACTCACCTGCACACCTGTTCCAAAGTGTCACGGGGCAGGCCGAAGCCGTCGGAACCGGTGGCCCCCCCTGCGCCTGCTGCTGTGACCAACCCGGACCTGGACCAGAAGCCCCCGCTGCTTGACCCAGTGTCGGCCCCCCAGCCGCTTCCCTCTGAAATCCCAAACACGGAAGGTTCCTTCCTTGCCGCTGTTCTAGAGGCAGACCCTGCCCCCCCTCTCCTCGGACCCCCCTTCTTGTCCAAACCGGAGACCTCCCCTCCCCACCTCACTCCGCCGCTGCTCACAGAGGCAGCACACCAGCCTCGCATCAAGATCGAACCCTCGGATCTGCCTCTATCTTTAAACCTGGATGGCCCGACTGCTGCTTCGGACCCCCAGGATGCCCAGGGTCAGCCCCTGACACAGACCAGGTGTCCTGAGCCCATCCACCCTGCTCCCGGACCGGTGCCCCGCTCTCCTGGGTCTGCCGCTGTCTGGAAGAAGGGTCAAGGTGAGCCTCTCATCCTCCCACTAAAGCACACAGCTGTAGCTGGCCAGATGTGGCCTCATGTTTAGCCACAATATTGGTATCGGCCGCAACAAATAAAGTGTCGGTTATCTCGGTGAGTCTCTACATGAGACGCAGTTAAAAGCGAGTAAGAGGACCTTGAGTTGAGATTAATTTGTCAAACTGCTATTTTCAAGGTGACAAATGAAACATAGTTTGAGTGTGTTTTAGTCTTTTAGTCTTTGTGTGTTTTAGTCTTAGTTCAGAAATCACAGCTGAAGATTCCTGTCACAGATTAGCCTTGTCCAAAAATCAAAAAGTTTTCTTCATTTGAGACGAGCTTTGACACAGAGTATTGAAATAGTGCGCTTCAACTTAAACAAGCTTCGGAGCTTCATTGGTCCATCTCATGGGCGCAGAGAAACGACATTTTGAATTCTAAATTGCCATAATCCAGTTCCTTTGCGCTGACATCCAGTTGTCCTTTCATCCACCAGGGACGGCCTGCAGCAGGCGCATCCTGTGGGAGCACACTAAAGGGCGCTACACCTGCGTGCAGTGTGGCCACGCGGTCACCAACCGCAAGGAAATGACTCTTCACATCAGCAGCAAACACAGCGGCAGCAAACACAGCGGCAGCAAACCCGCCGACGACACAGGGAGCTCCGCTGCCAGCTCGTAGCGTGGAGGCGGGAGGACGTCGTCCTTGAGGACTCTTCTGTCGGTGGATGTTTCCGTCACCTTTGTATTCTGAGCGAACTGCCTGTAGCAGTGAGTTATTAACTGATTGTTGAACATTTTTTGCATTACTTTATCCGTTTTAACAAAACACTGCAACATTTCTCCTCCACACACATTTGAAGATTGTACATAGTTCAATACTACTACTACTGTAGTATCTTCCCAGGGTAAGTAGTAGAGACTCCAGTCTATAAAATATGGTTATTGACAAGCAAAACCCAACAATGTCATTACTTTTTTTTGTCACTGCATTAACAACTGTAACTTTGGTTTTTCACATTGAAAGTAGCCACAAGATTATCCATTGTACAGTCCTGTTGTAACTGGATGGACACAGACACAGGCGTCGTTAAAAGGACACGTATGTAGGATTTAGGGGGATCTGTTGGCAGAAATGGGGGAAATATATTTGTTTTCATTCGCGTATTATCACGTGGAACTAAAAATCACTGTTTTCTTTGAGCTTATAGTGAGCCCTTCACATCTGCATAGGCAGTAGCCCAATCACACACTGGCTCTAGAGGGCTTTCCCTGTTTTAAGTTGAAGTGGCAGCTTGAATTGTCTACATGCTTGGAGAAGCAGGGTATCCAGGAGGCTGCAGTCTGCAAACTCACCACCAGATGCCACTAAATCCTACACTGCGGCTCCTTTTAACTGTTGCTTCTCATGTTTAAAGTTGTCATACCCGCCACTTCCAGGATCAGTCTGCTGTTATTCTAGACTTTTGTGTGAAACAAATTCAATGAAAAGACAGCAAACAATGAGGTAGTTTATTTGTCAATACACATCTGTGGCTCTCTACCCATTGGTTCCCATTGTAAAGCTTTAAAAATAAAAAAATAAACAGCTCACCAATGTATTGTTTCATTATTTATAAAAGGTTCTGTAATTTCCTTAAACTAGAGGAAATAGTGCATTTGTTGGGGAGTTTGCAGCAGCGGATTAATCCACATTTGGTGCTCTTAGTATTTGTGGCAGCAGGACGGTCGATGTGGGATTGAATCAAAATAAACTAGTTTGTTCATTGTAATGAAGAAACATGTCACCCAGTGTTGCAGCGTGGCTCACTGATCTCTTAATAGTTTCTGAACAACAATGAGCTCTATGGCTCAGAGGAAGAAGACAGATCAGGCTTTGGGACACACTTGTTAGCCATTGTTTGGTCTATTCATGGGATTAATTGACAAACATTGGATCCTTTTTTTCCCCTTCTACAAACAGCTTTACAAGAAAGACAAGGTTAAAAAAAAAAAAAAAAAAAAATTTATTATTTGGGTCAGTCAGAACATGATACAAGCACTTGGCTGCTCAGAGCGCCAACAAAACATTGGTCAGCTCCGGCTACCCTCCACGCCTCCGCCCATCCAAACATGCTCCTGAACAACCATCACCTCTCCCTCCTCTTCACTAGCGTTACGCGCCCGCTGAGCTTTAGAATTAACACATCGAGACAATATCACATGACAAGAGGTCCCACTCGATCACTAACATGTGCATTATTAGACGTTACCACATGCAGACTGAAGTGCTGTTTTCAACAAACAAATCCCATCACGTTGGATGAAGGGGAGCCATTGTCGATACTCTATACATTTAAAAAAAAAAGACTTAACACATGGGTTCATTATGAAGATGATGGGTTCGCCAGCATGAGCCATCCACCATCAGATTTAGTACATGTGGGTTTTAAAATGATAAATGCTCCGTCGTATTATCTCACAGCCCTGAAGTTTCAATGTGTTAAAACAAAACCTGCTGGAAATGTGTTTTTATTTCACATGATGGCAGGTTGACAAAAAAAAAAAAAACACATAGTAAACAAGTGCATACAAAAAAAAAAATAAAGATTAAGTGCCGACTGTCCAACCTCCAGATCAGGCAATGTTGATTTCTGTTTTGTTTTATTATCGCAACTATGTTCAGCTCAGTTCTCTTGAGGCTTTTAAAAAAATCTCTTCTGGTCAACGGCGTATATCTTTCCTGCCGGAAGCTTCCGGAAGAATAAACTGTTGCCTCTGCTCATGTTGCCCTGGAAAGAAGAGAGGATACAAGTGTTTTAGTAGTGGCTGGTGGTACAGTATACAAGTATACGTGACCAAAAGGACATTTTCAGCATTGTACCATGAAATTATAAAGTAAATATAATTGCTTAAGGCACACGAGGAGATCACTGGTCCTGTTAATACACGTGTACATCTCCGAAGATCAAATACATGAAATGATTGAACAGCGATCACATTATGTGTACTTGCTATAACTGGTGGTGTGTGTAATGTGACCTGTTCCAACTACGCTTAGGCCACTTCACAGCTGTAGCTCAACTCAGTTGGTCCAAAATTAAAAAAAAATAAAGTTGAGTTCAAGTGTTTCGTGTTGACACTGACTGACCCAGGAGCTGTTAACATGAGGCTGAATGGACCGACAGGTAACTCATTCATTGGAATAATTTTGGTGATGTCATCATAAAAAGTGCTATACGAATACATTTTGATTGATTGACGATCATCATCATCATCATGTTAGACCCCATGCATTTGTCTTCTCTGGTATCGTAAAGAGCTCACAAACAAATGACTTCATCACGAGTGTCATTAGTCAAAACTGCAGCTGGACCTCGTGTCTCGAAGAAGGACAACCAGGTAGAAACGGGACCAAAACGCTGTTAGCGGTTAGCTAACCCTACAGCGACTGAGAATGGCAGCCGACTGGGAGGACGACGAGGTCCGGGAGCTCCTTACCCTCCGAGCAGAGGACGAGAGCGATGACCTACAGGGACGTTAGAATACTGTACGTCACACTATACGCCTCTTTTGCTCTCATGATGCCGGCGTGCCATCTGAAAATCACACACTGGGACGGTGCTAGGCCATCGCTGTTTGGTGTTTTAAATTGAAGTTGGTGTGACAGCAGATCTTCTTTATGGCGGTGTTGTGGAATCTCTGCGTTCTTTCGGTGAGCCTTTATTTTAGGAGTCTAAAATGTTTTTATGTTGGCCCATACAACCCTTCTGTTTGTATCTTCTGGTCTCTCTCTCACACACACACACACACACACTCACACACACACACACACACACACACACACACACACACGGGATGGTTACTGAGGACTTAACCCACGGTAGAAGAAAAAAAAAAAAAAAAAAAAAAAAAAAAAACTCCCACCACTGTGGTGCCTAATGTGACATCTGTATCTGTCCAGTGTAGGCAGTGTGTACACAGATGTTTGGTGGGCCATGCGTTTACCTCTCTGCTTAGATGCCTCCAGCAGTCCACCCAGGTGGGACATACCGATGCATAGGGAGGCAGGCCTCCAGCGAGCCTGCGAGGACAAAAGGAACTGTAAACCTGCTCCATCCAACACAAACGAGGCTGTACAGTGGCAATGAAGCTGCCGACTCACCCGCAGTTATTGACAGCCATGAGGTTTGACACCAAAACGAAAGGGTATGTGAGCATACTGGCAAAGAACTGGAAGAAGAGAGTGGGGGGGGGTGATGATCAAAATGTTGTGGACACATCGGATGCTGTAGACGGGCCTCGTTTATTACACTTACCCCTGTCACAGCCTGAGAGCAGTTCTTGATTTCTCCTGTGTGACTCATCTGTACGGAGGAACAGATGAAACTGTTAGTTGTGTATGTGAGCCTGAACTGAACACACACCCTCAGCATGGAGGGGCAGTGGTAGAGCTAGGTCTGGCTATGTGACACACAACCAGGGCTGTGGTGGTAAGAATAAAGCGGAGCTTGGAAGAAGAGAAGCTTGGCTTTAGATTATGGACTCAGGGGTCTCGGCTCTAGTCCAATATTATTATTAGCAAGCTCATTTTCTAAACTAATTAGGGAACTGTTTGTCATGACTTTTTAATTTGTGAATGAATACATTACATTTTCTGAATCTGCTCTTTTGATTGTGAAATTTTTGTGAAAAAAAAAAAGAAAAAAAAGGGCAGACATGGCCAGAGGAATTCGGTGTTCAGACGAAGGCTTTGATAAGTTTAAGTAACACAATTAGAATTTAACTATAGCAAGTTTTGCAAAAGCTTTTGGGCTTTATCTATGGTAACAATAGTGGCAAAAAAATGATGTCAAATTGCATAGTTTTCAATCAAAAACATTAGAATGTTGAGCTGTCACAAACGATGTGCCTCTATTTTTTAACGATCAACGGTTATTACTACATCCAATATTCAAATAAAAGGAAGCTCCTGGAGATTTGCATGCCTACACATCCTATGAGTGTGTGTGTGTGTGTGGGATTGCTCTTTGTTACGAGACAAAAAAGGGTCCGTCATGGGATACAATGATCCAGCTGGGAAGATGATATGAATCCCAGAAGCTGCAGACTGGACTTAAGTTTGAGCACACTAACAGATGTGTTCTGTACGTGCAACCTCCACTACAGCCCTGTGAGTAAATACTGCAGAACAGGAGTGTTTCTGGGAGAGTGAGTCCTTAAACCGAACCTCTACACACTTGACTGCACTAAGCAGGGTGAAAGAAGAAGTGGTATACCGAGTCATCGATGGCGTATGTATTGATGAGGTGAGCCAGCAGGTTACAAATCCACAGAGACAGGACGTCACCGAGCAGGCGAGGAATCAAACCGCTGAACAAGAAAACATTAGGATTCAAACATCAAGAGTATGAGGGACAATAATCCGCATACTGGATATGCAAGATCACACTATTGTAAAAGAATAAATTAACACTAGAAGCCATGGTTAGAATTCAGTTTGACACTGAAGCGCTTCCCACTTTCAGGCGGAGTACAGTACCGTAAGTCTAAGCTGTAATGTAAAGGACAGAATATACAGTATATTCAAATATATCCACAAAGTACTCTAGATCATCTAATTTGGCAGTTTTGTGGCCGATAAGTCATCATGTTCACCGGGGACGGCACTTTTTACCCCAGAGTCTTAACTTTAAAGTTAGTCTGATGTTCTTAGAGGACAAATATGTCTGTCAAAAAAGACGTTTATTGACGTTCTGAATTTGAAGACTTTAAATGCCAGTTTGTTTACATGATGCCACTGTTATGGGGGAATAATTCACTTTTCTCTGTATAAAAAAAAAAAAAAAAAAAGCTGTGGGGATTTCCACCCCCCCAGTCTGGGACATATCATTGATTAGCATCAAACACACAATACAGCAGCAACGCCCCGAGTGGAAACATTTGCCCCGTTGCGTAAATGAGAGAAAATCTGGTGGAAAATGGTTGAGACTACAATTTTTAAGCTATAGATTGAAAGCCTGATATAATAGAGTGTGAGATTTATTCTGTAATGGTTGAGATAAAAAAATAAAATAAAAAAAAATTGTAGTTTCAATAAGGGCCATTTTTGTCCTTGAGGGTCTGAGTGTCTGTATTTTAATATTAGAGATTAAACTTCCAAAATAAATTTAAATTAAAATAAAATAGATGGCACAAATGATCAAAACATTAAAAAGCCAGAAATGTCCTCTGCGAGGGTTATGTAGTTTGTTTTTTAGGCTGGCCTTAACATAAATTGGGGGCTCGTCCATTTTATTTCCCTCATGTTTGTCGGCAGGTTCGAAAGTTTTTTTATTTGACATATTTGGCATTTTTTTCTCTCCAAGGGTTAAACAATGTGTGTAGCCTATTCATCAACACACTGTGCACATATAGAAGTATACACTTTAGCACCAAGGCAAACCATCTCCTGGGGTATTTCGCCTTTAGAAGGATTCAAAGCTGACCATCGAGTCATTGCACCAAAAACCGTAGTAAGAAGAAAGACAAGAGGAGTCAAACTTACGCAAAGAAGCCCAGTAAGCCTTCTTCTCTGTAGACTGTGACTATGGAGTCAAACACCCCGCTGACAACAGAAGACATGGATACACATTTGTAAGTTTTAGACTACTGTCGCTGCTCTTCTCATTGAGGTTGGTGTCTAAAACATGAAAACTTTACCTGTATTTTGTTTCTCTCCCAATAAACTGGACCATACATCGCAAAGTAATCACTGAAAAACAAGTCGAGGAAAACAGACTTGACATACAGACTAGTGTCTCCCCACACACACACACACACACACATATTTGTCAGATCCAACTAAAACATTTAAATGTATCACAAGTGAATAATACAGCCTCTGGGAATGTCGCATGCATAACGCTGTAGTTAGCCAGCTAAAGGCATCTGAAGAGTGACGTACCATGGAAGGGATGCGTGACAATGGTGGCGCAGGATCGGGCTATCATCTCTTTGGTTGTCTGTGGAAGAGAAAACAAGCAACCAAGGTGTATGTATGAAAAATAATAATACATTATTAGTCTACACATAAGCCTAGTTTGATCCTCAAAAAGAAATGACATTTAGTAAAGAGAACTAGAGCAGAGGTCTTCAACAGGGGGTCCGCAGAGGTACTGCAGGGGGGCCGCGCAATTTTTGGTTGATTAGACAACAAAACATGAATGTGTCCATTATTTTAATAGTTCAGTATTGTATGCAAGATAACAGGTATGTTTATGCATGGCAGTGGCACTAATAGGCCATCACTCATTTTTCATTTCCACGTTTAAAATTAAAACGTCAATGTGAATAGCTTGTATGCATGATTATCATGCAATTGACAGACAATGTTGATATTGGCATTGGCATCAGCTGACAAGGTGTGTTTATGAATGGCAGTGGCACAGCCTCCCTACTCACTGTACCTTGCACGTTTCAAATAAAAACATGAATATATTATGGGGCGGCCGTGGCTCACTGGGTAGAGAGGGTCGTCCGGCAACTGCAAAGTCGGCGGTTCGATCCTTGGCTGCTACGTGTCCTATGCCGAAGTGTCCCTGAGCAAGACACTGAACCCCTAACTGCTCCCCGGGCGCTTCTCAGCTGCCCACTGCTCCCAATAAGCTAGGGATGGGTTAAATGGAGAGGACAAATTTCGTATATGTGTAAATGTATATGACAATAAACTTAACTTATATGAACCTGTGTATTATTTGAATAGCTTAGTATTGAATACACAATAAAGAGGTATACATGGTACTAGGCCCATTTAATATAAAACACATTTTTATACAACATATATATATATA